GACTTTCGCAGTTCCCAGGAGCGGAACCGGTTCAAAGCCAGTTCATGCAAACACGCCTTGTCAACCCAAGACTCAATAACAAAGCCACTTCTCTGTTTTGAAAAGTCAAAGTGCTTCCTGCCATTGATGCCTCCGTTACAACAACCTTGTAAGGTAGGCCGGAATCGTTATTCCTTGTATCACACACGGGAGCGGGGGCCAGGACCAGGAGGCACCCCCCCAGTGGGAACGACTTTGTGCTAACTTGCTACCTTGAGTTCCTTCTGTGAGATCAGGAACAAACCCTTGCCTTTTTTCCTTTGGAAATTTTGAGGGCTGTTTCAGGCAGATCGTTTTCTCCCTCTGCAGGTGTCTGCAAACGACAGACAAACCCATCAAGGTGTTGCTTGTCCTCCCGCGAGCCAAAAACCGCACCTGTTGGATTTCCACCTGCAAGTCCTGAAATGCCACTTGAAAATGGCAGACCAAGGAAATCTACAAGGATGCTTACAACTCTTTCTCTCCAATACTTTTCCCTCCCCACATTTCCTTTAGCTACTTGCAAAGGCACTGAACTGGGGGGGGTTTGCAGCAAATGTGGGGTGTGGCAGAAATCCACAAGGGGCAGCTTTTCCTGTTGAACTTCTACCTGCTAATCAGCTAAAAGAGCCCTTGCTTGCAGCAGAAGGGAGGGAGGCGACTTCGAAAATGGTGTGAGAGCGAAGGAAGGAAGGAAACTAACACTGGAATGGAGCCTCCTCGCTGCCCCCAACTTGGGGGTCGCATCCATTGTTAGTCATATTCAGAGCCGACCCACTGAAACGAAGGGGTAACAGAGGCCCATAAATTCCAGCGGGTCTACGCTGAGTAAGAAACTAAGTTGCTCATTTAGGTCCCGTCTGCACCATACGTTTATATTACACCGCTTTCCCCAAAGCTTCCTGGGACCTGTAGTTTGTTAAGGGTGCTGGGAATTCTAAACTACAGTTCCCCCAGTTTTGTTGTGGGGGGCCACAAGCGGTCACACCCTGACTTGCGTTGGGGGGAGAAAACTGGGAAGGGAAGACTGGAAGTGTGTGTGAACTGGGGAAGAGGAGTTAAGGGAAAGAGAAGCTCTCTTGTCAAAGCTTTTTTCTTTGAGACTCCCTCCTACAATTGTGCCCCCTGTAAGGTTTGGGGGAGACATGGGGTGTCAAGCTTGGGGGTACCAGTGAGTTCATATGGCCATGATTCCTCCTGCCACCAACATATCCTGCGAGTGTCCCAGAAAAAACGAGACATCCCATTTTTTCTTGTGAGAGTGACCATTTTTTAGTGCCGTGATCTCCTAAAAGAGTGTGTTTTCTGGAGCCGCGATCTCGCATGGTACCCCCAAACATATGTTTTTAGGCCCTGCGCCTGAAAAAATGCTTTGGAGGGGCTGGGGGGGGGATCGCGGTACGAAATCACGCAATATCATGTCATCCCCCAAAGGCTGCCATTCTCATGATAAAAAGCGAGAAGACGGGTGTCCTGAATTTTGCCTTGTTGGAGGATATGCAGCGATGCCCCAGAAGATGGCTGAACTTTCAGGCTGTTGTGAGGGAGGGAAACGAAACACCGTCACCACGAAAATTCGGAAGTGTCCGTGTTTTTATAGTACTCCCTGCCTTCCTCCCACTGCCATGCAAAAAAGCTTGGAAACTCAATTTCTGGGTGGGGGAAATGGCTGCCAGCCTGAAAATGAAGAGGTCATGCTGTTTCTGTAGTGGTCTATTGTTGATATCCTTCTTGATGTATGGAAGTGAGAGCTGGACCATCAAGAAGGCTGATCGCCAAAGAATGGATGCTTTTGAATTCTGGTGCTGGAGGAGACTCTTGAGAGTCCCATGGACTGCAAGAAGATCAAACCTCTCCATTCTGAAGGAAATCAGCCCTAAGTGCTCACTGGAAGGACAGATCCTGAAGCTGAGGCTCCAAGACTTTGGCCACCTCATGAGAAGAGAAGACTCCCTGGAAAAGACCCTGATGTTGGGAAAGATGGAGGGCACAAGGAGAAGGGGACGACAGAGGACGAGATGGTGGGACAGTGTTCTCGAAGCTACCAGCATGAGTTTGACCAAACTGCGGGAGGCAGTGGAAGACAGGAGTGCCTGGCATGCTCTGGTCCAGGGGGTCACGAAGAGTCGGACACGACTAAATGACTAAACAACAACAACATTGTTGATAGCAAAATGGCAGCCTGGGGTCCAGGGTAGACATCGTTGGTGTCCTTTGTTGGAGCATCTGCCTAAGGATTCATGTTTGTGGTTGAGTGGTCAACTCCCCTCTTCTAAAGCTGTCCCAGGGAAAAAATAAATTGTACAGCTGCTTTGCCTATGTGTGGAATGGTAGCAGTGGATGGTGAATTTGAAAGGAGCCCTGCGGGGTTGCAGAAAGCAACCTATTCCCCTTTTTGCTCGTCCACAACCTCAAGCGTCTGGAGGTCTCTAGACACACAGATGCTCTAGGCAGCTGCCGTAGTTCGTTGGGAGAAAATGTTGAGCTATCAGCCAGATAAAAAACAAAATACGTTTCAAGAGGGGCAACAAACCAAGCTTTGGACCGGGGGAAAAAAGAACGCTATGTTTGTAATGTTAATAACACCCTTGGAAAACCACAGATGCAGTCGAGTCATTTCAGCGTAAGAGCTTGAAATACGACAATGAGCAAACCTGTTCGGCTGGCTGGTCCTGGGTTCGAATCTCAGACACGTTCTGCGTTTGCTTGTAAGGGGAAAAGGCTGGCTGGGTTTTCCTGGGAGGGTCCGTCTCCCAGTTGGGAACACACTGGCTTGGCAGGCCTGGTCCCTGGTCCCTCTGCCTGGGACCGTGGGAGATGCTGCTGCCAATCCAAGGATGGAAAATGGGTTCTGTCTTTGCCAAATCAGGGCATCAATTGCAAACAGCGAGTTCCCTCTTTAGGATCTCTGGCATGTCTGCATCTGGGGTTTTTTAAGAGTGGGGGGAAGAATGGGAAACGAAAAGGATGCTCAGCTGACCTCCCTACCCTAGAGTTGCAACCCAACAGCCTAAATTTTGCAGTCAAGAAGACAGCTCTGCTTAGCCATTTCTTTGGAGTCCCATGGGTAGGCAAACTAAGGCCAGGGGGCCGGATCTGGCCCAATCGCCTTCCCAATCCGGCTCACGGATGATCTGAGAATCAGCGTGTTTTTACATGAGTAGAATGCGTCATTTTCTTTAAAATGCATCTCTGGGTTATTTGTGGGGCATAGGAATTTGTTCTTTTTCTTTCTTTTCAAAATATAGTCCAGCCCCCCACAAGGTCTGAAGGACAGTGGACCGGCCCCCTGCTGAAAAAGTTTGCTGACCCCTTGGACCCTAGACCGGGGATTTCCCCAATTGCTCCCAGGCATACCCCAAGAAATAAACAAATTAACTAACAGATCTTGTGGCTTAAAAAATGACCCAACCCGTGAGGCGGCTGCCCTCTCTGTCTCAGCACAAGCCCCCACCTCCTACCAAACAGCTTTCACATGACTTGTGCGTGCCCATCTCGACACACACGCCTGCGTTGGATTATTCCGTGGCTCCCGGTGCTAAAAAGGCTTAGCAGAGTTGCGTGCCCTCAAAAGGAATGTTACCTGTTGCATCTCTGGATGAGCCCCTTTCCCGAATTTCCTTCTGCCCCGACAACAGCTGCGCCCACGTTGAGGGACTGACAGGAGAAAGGTGAGCGCTTATTTTGGGGAAAATGCTACCCTAGATTGTGTAAACACAGCGGAGATCGCCTCGTCAGACTTGGTTCATCTGCAATTGATTATCTGGGGGGGCTTCGCATATAGGTAGGCTGTAGGTGCGATCCACACACTCTAGAGAAGGGCAGAGTTAAACCACCCTCTTCAGACTCCGATCCATTTTCAAATCACAGAAGAGTTTTTGTGGATGTTCCCCATGACACAGCATTTCCTTAAGACAGGGGTCAGCAACCTAAGGCCCATGGGCCAAAAGCGGCCCACGGGGGTTGTTTAACTGGCCCATGAGCTGCCCCCAAACCGAGCCGCCCGCTCAGCGAGTCCCCGCGTGCTGCGCTAAACTGGTACAGCGCGGTACAGGGACTCGCTTCCGCGGTGCTGGAAATCGCATCTGCGCAGACACAGATGCCAGAAATCGCATCTGCACAGATGCAAACGCTGGGAATCGTGGGATCCGGCCCATGGAGGGATCTCTGCTGGAGTAAACCGGCCCAGGCGAGATAAACCTTGCCGACCGATATGGCATTAAATGCCATGATCTATGCTGAGGCAGGCCAGACTTAGAACGGTGAGGGATTAGCGCTGACACTACAAATCAAACCAGTTATGGACCCTGTGAATATTGTCCTGACTTTTGAACTGAGGCCCTCCGCACAGATTCATTCCCAGCCATCTTCGCCCTCCCCGTCCCCAAATCACAACCCGCAGGATTCTTTAAACCAGGGCTTAACTTGAGCAGGTGTCAAAATGGCCCGAAACCCCGCAGCGCCGAGAACCATGAAAAAGAGGGGGCAGGTTTGACACCCTGAAGTTGCACTGCTTTCCGCCGCAGCCACTAGCACCGTTAGAATCGCAGTGGAAGGGACCCCGAGGCGCCATCTTGTTGACCCCCCCACCCGGCAATGCTGGGATTTGCTTTCCCAGTGCATGTAGAAAGTCTTTACTGTCCTCTCCTTCTGAGAAATTTCTCGATCCGAGAGGAAAAGCAAAAAGGCAATCCTTGCCGTGCCAGAGTAGACGAACAGCCGCTCCCGAACCATTCCTGCCTGGCACGAGCAAGGATTCGTGTTTTGTGCATGTGCAAGCGTGTAAGTAACACACAGAACCTCACCAAACAGGTAGAGGAAATCAGATGGAAACGAAGGAAGGAATGCCAGCCCCCCGTTTTGCTTTTTTAAACGCCTTTCATAGTCTGGCACCACCTTCAACCACTCGGGAAGAAACTGGGGGCAACGGATAGGGAGATTCCCCACCCCACCCGTCCCTGACCTTTGAAATTTCCCTGGCGACCGCCGTTGGTTATTATTTATTTCCATCGTTCAAAATCCTGCCCCCCCTTATTTCCGCGGCACCTTTGCGAGGAAGGGGCGGAGCCGCACCCGAGGCCGCCCCATGCCCCGCCTCTCGGAAAGGAGGCGGAGCGTCGCGGGAGGAAGAGTCCAATGAGGAAGCACCCGGATGAAATAAACCCCAAATCACGCACACGCACGCACACACAGAAGAGGTCACCCTCCCTGCTTGTTTTTGTTTTTTTTGCCTCAAGCAGCATCTCCCGCGTGCCCCCCCAATAATCCGTACGCCTGGGAGGTTGGGGGGGCACAGGTCCTTCTCCTCCCCCCTCCACCCCTCCTCAGGTGGGACCCAGGGTCTCGCGTTGTCCTTTTCCTGATCCGCTCTTCCTCCGTGCTGTGAAACCCCGCCCCTTTTCGAAGGAGGGAGGCCGCCGAGCCAAGCCACGCCCCCTGGGCCGGTCCCCCTATTTGACGGAGGAGGCAGTCCGCTCCACGCCGCTGTATTTCAGGAGGTGGCTGAAGTCCGTCAGGGTGTGCTGGGCTCCCAACGTGGGTCCCCGCGCCGCCCGGGCGTAGGCCGCCTGCCCTTCCCCGCTGTTGAAAGTGTGGGTGCGCTTCAGTTGCGCGCTTGCCCTGCTGGCCGCATTGTTACTATTCGAGTTCAGCTTCTCGGGGTTCCACGGGGCGGGGTCCCCCGTCTCCCCGCCGGGGGCCGACACCACCCGCCGCCGCTCGGGGCTGCCGTGCGGCGTGATGGGCAACTCTCCGCCGTAGGAGCTCCGAGTCCCGCTCGGCCGGTGTGTGGGCGGCGCTTGGTGCTGGTGTTGTTGTTGCTGTTGCTGCTGGGCCACCCGCGCCCCCTCTCCGGCGCTGACCGGCAAGTACCGCATGTCCAGTGAGAGGTCGCCGGCCTCGTTCTCCAGCTCTTGGTCCATCAGCATGGAGTGGCAGGAGATGGGAATCACACGACCCGAGCCGAGGTGGTGCGAGGGCACGGCGGTGTGGCCGGCGTGGAGGAGGATGACCGAGGAGGGCGGGTCTCCGCTGCGCAAGGAGGCGTTGATGAGATTGTGGCTGTACTCCCAGGTGCAGGGCTTGGGGCACCGCTTCTGCTGCAGGGGGGTCTGCTCCGGGGTGGGCAGCACCCCGGAATCCAGGTCGTGCTGGCTGACCTTCACCAGCCCCTTGGGCCACCCATTTTGCATCAGCGGGGCCAGCAGGTTCTCGGGCTGCCCGCCGGGGCCGCCCCGGGAGCGGCGCTCACCCAGCCGGCTGACGCTCACCACCGACTCGCTGTGAGACAGGATGTTCTCCTTGTCCTTGCGCCGGGCCAGCTCCTTGCGGTCGCGGTGCCCGATGAACCAGCACACACTGAAGCCAGAGATCACGGCGCCGATGACGAAGGCCGCCACGGAGGAGATCACCAGCAGGTTCACTGAGACCAAGCCGTCCGGCTCGTCCACAAAGCTCTCCGTCAACAAGCCTGCGGGAGGGAGGGACAGTGTTAGCTGGTGGGTTGACCGTGAGTGTGGATGTGCCGGATCTGTTCTCATAGAGTTGCAGGGTTGGAATGACGTAATAAGGGGGCGGTGTCAGGGAATGGTCTGGATCTCTGGACATGCCCAAGGATTAAGACATTCTGTTTATTATTATTATTATTATAAGATATTTATTAAGATTTTCAGAGTATTACAAGATAAAAAAAGAAAAAAGGAAAATGCAAAATAAAAATGATTAAAAACAATTCATTCTTTCCTTTACTTATCCTTCATTTGCTTATTTCCCGGACCTCCTCACGCCTTCCTTTTTTGTATTCCAGTTCAATTTGTTAGTTCAGCAAATCCCACCCTCTTTGTATATCCTAGTCATTAATCATAAAGTATTGTAATTTTAAATTTTTACCTATTAATAATCCATTTTTTCATATTCCCTTGTGACATTTCAGCTAAAGACCACTTAATTTCTATCCAACATCATTCTAGCATTCATTAATTTTACAATATTTCTGTAAATAGTCTTTAAACTTTTCCCAGTCTTCTTCCATCAACTCTTCTCCCTGGTCTCGGATTCTGCCAGTCATTTCCGCCAGTTCCATATAGTCCATCACCTTCATCTGCCATTCTTCCAAGGTGGGTAGCTCTTGTGTCTAATTCATTATAGATCATCTCCCAGAAAGCCTTAATCCTTGGGCACGTCCACCAAAGGTGAAAGAATGTACCTTCATTTTCTTTACATTTCCAACATTTATTATCGGGCAAATGATAGATTTTTGCGAGCTTGACTGGTGTCATGTACATTCTGGGAGATGATTTATAATGAAATGAAAAAGGTATTTAAATATACCTTCCTGAAGAAACCAGAGGCCTTTCTCCTGGGCATGGTCGGCCAATTGGTGTTAAAGAAGGATAGAACTTTTTTTATGTATGCAACAACAGCAGCAAGGATACTCATCGCAAAGTATTGGAAGACACAAGATTTGCCCACCCGGGAAGAATGGCAGATGAAGCTGATGGACTACATGGAACTGGCGGAAATGACTGGCAGAATCCGAGACCAGGGAGAAGAGTCGGTGGAAGAAGATTGGAAAAAGTTTAAAGACTATCTACAGAAATATTGTAAAATTAATGAATGCTAGAAAAATGTTGGAATGAAGTTATATGGCTTTAGTAGAAATGTTATAAGGAATTAAGTACAGATAGGTTAATAGAGCATTAAAGGAAAAAATAAGGTTAGAATGAGTTAAGATAATTATAGGATAGAAAACAGAGGAAGATGAAAAGGAATTGCTGAAATAATTAACAGAAGTGGAATACAAAAAGGGAGGTGTGAGGAGGTCGTGGAAATAAGTGAATGAAAGATGGGATAATGAAATTGTTTTATTTATCTTATTGTCTTTGTCTTGTTTTGTTAATTTGATGTGTTGTATTGTATTGTTTATCTTCTTTTTAGTGTTTAAGTTTTTGGAAAAATAATAAATATTATTTTTTTAAAAAAGGGAATGGTCTGGATGTGAAGATTGGGGGATCAGATTATCTCAGAAGAGGAAGGGGAATATTTGCTTCCCCCCCGCCTCCAGCGTTTTCAGAAGCAGAGAGGCAGACTCAGACACAGAAGCTAAACAGATTAGAGAGGAGTTATCCAGCTATGAGATAATGACAGGAGAACCAGAAGGGAGGTGACAGCTTGGAGAGACGTCATTCGAGAGTATGGGGGACCCCTCTCTCCCCGGACTTGGAGGTCTGAACATATCAGAGAACAAGGGAGGCAGTGAGAGGGAGGAACTTCCTGTCTTGCTGCGGAAGTCGGAAGGAGGGGTTAGAGTGGGCAACCGCCCTTCCCGTGGAGATCTGTGTACAGTCGTACCTTGGTTTTTGAACAGCTTAGTTCTCGAACGTGAGGGTGTGGCTACTGTCACATGCTGACAGCTACTAAGAGCCACAGGTGATTGCTGAGTGCAGGGGCAGTGGCGACGGTGGGGGGGAGGGGAGAACCATTGGTGGACAAACTAGGTAAAAGTTAAGGTAAAGGAGCCCTGGACGGTTAAGTCCAGTCAAGGGAGACTCTGGGGTCGTGGCGCTGATCTCGCTTTCGGGCCGAGGGAGCCGGCGTTTGCCCACTGACAGCTTTCTGGGTCATGTGGCCAGCAGGACTAAACCAATTCTGGTGCAATGGGACACCGTGACAGAAACTAGAGCACATGGAAACGGCATTTACCTTCCCGCCACAGCTATGCCTATTGATCTACTTGCACTGGCGTGCTTTCGAGCTGCTAGGTTGGCAGGAGCTGGGACAGAGCAATGGAGGCTCACTCTGTCGTGGGGATTCGAACCGCTGACCTTCCGACCAGCAAGCCCAAGAGGCTCAGTGGTTTAGACCACAGCTCCACCTGCGTCCCCAGAAGGAGCACAATGTGTCCCTCACCAGCAATATTGGCCCTCCCCATACCGCCCATACATTCTGCTTAATACATATGGCCCCTAATGGCCTCATCTGGCCCTAACAGCTCCCAGCATTGTTTTGGGGGGAAGCCAAGCATTTTCAGTGTGTGGTGTGGGGGTTTGTGCGGCCGTGGTGAGTTTGTGGCAGGATCCGAGCAGCGGACTTGCCCAGCCGTCCTCAACCCCAGAGCCAGGAATGGTGGACAGGCACACACCTTCACAGTCGCCAAGGTGAGAGGTCTTGCCTCCGATGATGTCCTGCTCGAACGCGACCCTGTAGCCAGACGAAGGGTGAAGAGAGGGAAGCACAGAGTTAGATAAAGATAAAGGGTGGCTTCTATTAAGTGAGTCTGTTCCATGCAGGACCTCTGAAGGGTTCAACTTCTGTTGTTATGTTGTTTTTTAAATTTTAATTTATACTTTTCAAATTTATACATTTCACCATTGATTTTTCTGGGGGGTACGCAGGGGTACACCCCCCCCAAACATTTGGTGAATCTTTGTAAAAGTAAAAGGTAAATGGACCCCTGACCATTAGGTCCAGTCGTGGCCGACTCTGGGGTTGCGGAGCTCATCTCGCTTTATTGGCCGAGGGAGCAGGCGTACAACTTCCGGGTCATGTGGCCAGCAGGACTAAGCCGCTTCTGGCGAACCAGAGCAGCGCACGGAAACGCCGTTTACCTTCCCGCCAGAGCGGTACCTATTTATCTACTTGCACTTGGACGTGCTTTGGACATGCTTTCGAACTGCTAGGTTGGCAGGAGCAGGGACCGAGCAACGGGAGCTCACCCCGTCACGGGGATTCGAACCGCCAACCTTCTGATCGGCAAGTCCTAGGCTCTGTGGTTTAACCCACAGCGCCACCCGTGTCCCTGTGAATCTTTGTACTTTTGTCCATTTACTGTATTTATTGTCCTCAGTTTGAGCTATAGAATGGTGATTTTCTTGAGTTAAAATGAGAGTACAGTGGTACCTCTGGTTGCGAACGGGATCCGTTCCGGGGGCCTGTTCGCAACATGAGCAGAATGCAACCCGCGTCTGCGCGTCTGTGGGTCGCGATTTGCCACTTCTGTGCATGCACGTGACCTCATTTTGTGAATCTGCGCATGCGCGAGAGGTGAAACCCGGAAGTAACCCTTTCTGGTACTTCCGGGTCGCCGCGGTACGCAACCTGAAAACGCACAAGCTGAAGCAAACGTAACATGAGGTATGACTGTACCCCTAAACATTCTTAAACATGTTTACCGTATTTTTCGCTCTATAAGACGCACCAGACCACAAGATGCACCTAGTTTTTGGAGGAGGGAAACAAGGAAAAAAATATTCTGAATCTCAGAAGCCAGAACAGCAAGAGGGATCGCTGTGCAGTGAAAGCAGCGATCCCTCTTGCTGTTCTGGCTTCTGGGATAGCTGCGCAGCCTGCATTCGCTCCATAAAACGTACACACATATTCCCTTACATTTTAGGAGGGAAAAAGTGAGCCTTATAGAGCAAAAAACACGGTAAATCTGACGACTCCTCTTACCAAGATCCTGGACGACCCAAGCCTCCTCTGCTCTGGTCAGAGTAGGAGAATCCTGGAGCAACCTCAGAGTCCAGAGAACAGCCTGTGCGCTGTGGGGCAGCCCCCCCTGAACCCCATGCAGTCCTACACCCTGGCTGAGCCTTGCCCCAGAGCAGGGGACACGCACCCCACCCAAAAGCAAACCCTCCACCCACAGACACGCTCCCTTTTGACATGCACCCATACTTTTATAGCCTCTGTGGGGCAGGTGTAGAAGCTTCTGTAGAAGGAGAAGCGTAATCCTCATCATCATCCGCCCCCCATCATCATCATCATCATCATCATCATCATCAAAGAGGGGCATTTGCTACCAGATATTACCTTGTGCTCTGTTCCAGGAAAATACAGGAGCCTTCTGGTGTCCAGCCACAGTATGGATCACGGCTCCCCAGGCAGTTTCTGAAGGGCAGAAAGGAAGACGGGTTTTTGGGGAAGTGGTGGTCAGTAAAAACACAGAGATATTTCTAGAGAACCACGAGGACATAAAAAACCAGGAATCCTAAAATCACGGACTAACAACAATTTATTATTTATACCCCACCCATCTGGCTGGGTTTCCCCAGCCACTCTGGGTGGCTCCCAACAGAATTAAAAGCACATTTGGTGAGAGGATGTTCCAAAGGGCAGGCGCCACCACCGAGAAGGCCCTCTCCCTGGTTCCCTTGTAATCTCACTTCTCACAGTGAGGAAATCTCCAGAAGGCCCTCGGAGCTGGACCTCAGTGTCCGGGATGGATGAAGGGAGTGGAGACGCTCCTTCAGGTCTACTGGGCTGAGGCCATTTAGGGCTTTCAAGGTCAGCACCAACACTTTGAATTGTGCTCGGAAATGTCCTGGGAGCCAATGTAGGTCTTTCAAGACCAGTGTTATAGGGTCTTGGCGGCCACTCCCAGTTGCATTCTGGATTAGTTGCAGTTTCTGGGTCACCTTCAAAGGTAGCCCCACGTAGAGCGCATTGCAGTAGTCCAAGTGGGAGATAACCAGAGCATGGACCACTCTGGAGAGACAGTCTGCGGGCAGGGAGGGTCTCAGCCTGCATACAGATGGAGCTGGTAGACAGCTGCCCTGGACACAGAATTGACCTCCACCTCCATGGACAGCTGTGAGTCCAAAATGATTCCCAGGCTGTGCACCTGGTCCTTCAGGGGCAGAGTTGCCCCATTCAGGACCAGGGAGTCCTCCACACCTGCCCCCCGTCCCCCAAGAACAGTACTTCTGTCTTGTCAGGATTGAACCTCAATCTGTTAGCCGCCATCCGTCCTCCAACCACCTCTAGGCAGTTGGGAGTAAAGTTGGGAGTGACCAACTCTCGGGTCTCTTCCAGCTCCACAATTCTATGGTTCCTCTAGAGCAGCCTTTCTCAACCTTGGGTCACCAGATGTTTTTGGCCTACAACTCCCATCATCCCTAGCTCACAGGACCAGTGGTCAGGGATGATGGGAGTTGTAGGCCAAAACATCTAGGGACTCAAGGTTGAGAAAGGCTGCTCTAGTGGTTTCATGTTTGGGGAGCTGGAGATGAAGAAGAATCATAGAATCATAGAATCATAGAGTTAGAATAGACCACAAGGGCCATCGAGTCCAACCCCCTGCCAAGCAGGAAACACCACCAGAGCACTCCTGACATATGCTTGTCAAGCCTCTGCTTAAAGACCTCCAAAGAAGGAGACTCCACCACACTCCTTGGCAGCAAATTCCACTGTCGAACAGCTCTTACTGTCAGGAAGTTCTTCCTAATGTTTAGGTGGAATCTTCTTTCTTGTAGTTTGGATCCATTGCTCCGTGTCTGCTTCTCTGGAGCAGCAGAAAACAACCTATCTCCCTCCTCTATATGACATCCTTTTATATATTTGAACATGGCTATCATATCACCCCTTAACCTCCTCTTCTCCAGGCTAAACATGCCCAGCTCCCTTAGCCGTTCCTCATAAGGCATCGTTTCCAGGCCTTTGACCATTTTGGTTGCCCTCCTCTGGACACGTTCCAGTTTGTCAGTGTCCTTCTTGAACTGTGGTGCCCAGAACTGGACACAGTACTCCAGGTGAGGTCTGACCAGAGCAGAATACAGTGGCACTATTACTTCCCTTGATCTAGATGCTATACTCCTGTTGATGCAGCCCAGAATTGCATTGGCTTTTTTAGCTGCCGCGTCACACTGTTGGCTCATGTCAAGGTTGTGGTCAACCAAGACTCCTAGATCCTTTTCACATGTACTGCTCTCAAGCCAGGAAATATTGGGTCTGGTGGGAAGCTGGGAGCAAGAACTGCCCTGGCAAGTTTTCATCTCAGCTGGACATGCATGACATCCTCCCCCCGACAAAAAAGGCAAATGCCCTCCTACCAATTATCCCCACAGCCTCTCCCAAGTGTGAGATTATATGCAAGCACGGAGGAGAGGAGAATGGGGGGAGAAGACCCCCTCTCTGGTTTCCCATGCCCTTTTGGGATAATCCATCCTCCAGCTCCAAACCCCCAGGCCCCGTGACCTTTCGTTCGGAGACAAGCCTACTCTTTTTATTTCACTTCTAGCGTTTTAAATTTTCCCACCCCCCACCCCGCTCCAGGGCCAGGTATTAAGTGGGGAATTTGTGAATAATGGGGCTTCTGTGCCTGGCAATTATGGGGAGGGAATGTTGCGTGCGCCGCAGAGAGATGGCGGCAGCCCCAACGGTGGGTGACAAACGACTCCAATATCACGTTGAGGCGGGGCAGCCCGTCGCCTTCCGTGGGGATCAGCTCGAGACCTCGCAGGCGAAGACGTGTGTGCCTCGTTGTGTCCTCAAAACACAGCTGCCGCGGAGAGCTTTCTGGGACACGCAGCCTGCATTGTTGCGCTAGGAGCCCAGAATCATATAACCCACATTGGCTCCCAGTACGTTTCCGGGCACAATTCAAAGTGTTGGTGCTGACCTTGAAAGCCCTAAACGGCCCAGTATACCTGCCGCTGCTGTGGGGTACATAAATAGTCTTTGGTCCGATTTCTTGATCTCCTTCCCCATCAAACCCAGTAAGAAGGCTTCTGGTTTTTTTGTCAAATATTTAAATACAGTGGTACCTCGGGTTAAGTACTTAATTCGTTCCGGAGGTCCGTTCTTAACCTGAAACTGTTCTTAACCTGAAGCACTACTTTAGCTAATGGGGCCTCCCGCTGCTGCCGCGCCGCCGGAGCACGATTTCTGTTCTCATCCTGAAGCAAAGTTCTTAACCTGAAGCACTGTTTCTGGGTTAGCGGAGTCTGTAACCTGAAGCGTATGTAACCTGAAGCGTATGTAACCCGAGGTACCGCTGTATTTTCTTAAGTTCATTATAGATCAGCTCCCCAAAGTTCTTAACTTTATCACAAGTCCACCACATGTGATAAAAATCCCTGTCGGCCTCTTTGCATTTCCAACATCTTTTATCCCTCATCCTATACATTTTCACCAACTTTACTGGTGTTAAGGTGCCTGTCTTTCGATGCAAAATGAATCGACTCTCCTCCTCTGTCCCAACCCATTTTCAGGGCAGGGGGGAGGCTGCGTTAAAAACCCCAGCACATGGGAACAGGAATGGAAAACTCACTTTATGCAACCGGAATGCTGCTGACACCGGGCCACGGGGGCACGAACCACGCAGGGCGGGAAAGCCAGGAGCAGGGACCCCGTGGCCTTGTCCAATTCCATGCCCAGAAGTTTCCGTTCACCCACATTGTCTTTTCCGCACCTGGAGGGGGAAAATCAATCAATCAATCAATCAATCAATCAATCAATCAATCAATCTTTATTACGGTCCAGAAACCCAACAAATTGTTACAAAGCAATGCACAATTCAGACAGCCTAAATAATAATAATAATAATTTATTTATACCCCGCCCCCATCTGGCTGGGTTTCCCCAGCCACTCTGGGCGGCTTCCAAAAAACTATTAAAATACTGTAATACATTAAAAGCGTCCCTAAACAGGGCTGCCTTCAGATGTCTTCTAAAAGTCTGGTAGTTGTTTTTCTCTTTGACATCTGGTGGGAGGGCGTTCCACAGGGAGGGTGCCACCACCGAGAAGGCCCTCTGCCTGGTTCCCTGTAACTTGGCTTCTCACAGTGAGGGAACCGCCAGAAGGCCCTCGGTGCTGGACCTCAGTTTCCAGGTAGAACGATGGGGGTGGAGACGCTCCTTCAGATATACTGGACCGAGGCCGTTTAGGTTAAGGTAAAGGTAAAGGGGACCCCTGACCATTAGGTCCAGTCGTGACCGACTCTGGGGTTGTGGCGCGCATCTCGCTTTATTGGCCGAGGGAGCCGGCGTACAGCTTCCGGGTCATGTGGCCAACAGGACTAAGCCGCTTCTGGCGAACCAGAGCAGCGCACGGAAACGCCGTTTACCTTCCCGCCGGAGTGGTACCTATTGATCTACTTGCACTTTGACGTGCTTTCGAACTGCTAGGTTGGCAGGAGCAGGGACCGAGCAACGGGAGCTCACCCCATCGTCACGGGGATTCGAACCACCGACCTTCTGAGCAGCAAGTCCTAGGTTTAACTCACAGCGCCACCCGCATCCAGACAGCCTACCTCCAGGTTAAACAAGCATTTTGTTCAGAGTTAAAGATAGGGATCATCTACAGGGTTCTTTTAGATGGCGGATGAATGACGCTTTGCTGAGAAATGATTTGATTGTAAATAAAGCTCAAAAGACCCTAAAGGACTATTTTGAGTTGAACCTAAATCCTGGAATTGAAGCAAGGGTCGTATGGGATGCAAATAAAGCGGTAATGCAAGGTTTTTTGATTCAACAGAACTCTTATCAGGAAGAAAACACAGAATGAGCAAAAGGAAAATATTCTGTCTCAATTAAAGGAGAAAGAGAAAAAACTGAGATGTAACCCCAAAAATCAACAGATTCAAAAGGAAATTAAAGCGTTACAATCTCCGTATTCACAAATAGTAAACCAAGAAATTGAATGGAAAATTAAATTGATGAAACAAAAGACTTTTGAACCGGCAAATAAATGCAGAAAATTACTGGCTTGGCAACTGCAAAAGAGTCAGAAGGAGAGTACAATGGAATCTCTCTCCCATAACTGAACATGGAAGAATTTTCTCTTGCTTCTCCTATGTTATTCTGATTACAGTCATACCTTGGATCCTAAATGCCTTGGTATTTGGACGTTTTAGCTCCCGAACGCCAAAAAACCAAAAGTGACCGTTCCGGTTTGCGAACCATTTTTGGAAGCTGAACTTCCAACGGAACTTACGATTGGCTGCAGGAGCTTCCTGCAGCCAATCAGAAGCTGTGCTTTGGTTTCTGAATGTTTTGGAAGTTGAATGGACTTCTGGAACGGATTCCGTTCGGTTTCCAAGGTACGACCGTATTCTGTTTGTTATTATCCGGGGGGGTTTTCAACCAGAACCTCTCAGAAAGGTGCCATTGCCATTCTAAGAGAACAAGGGAGGTGTTCATAGTGAGTTCTGGCACCTCTTTTTCTAGAAAAATAGCACTGTATAATACTAATACTACTACTAATAATAATAATATACAGTCATACCTTGGGTTACAGACGCTTCAGGTTGCGTTTTTTGGGGTTACAGACCCGCCAAAACCCGGAAGTACCGGAATTGGTTACTTCCGGGTTTGGGTGGTTGCACATGCGCAGAAGCACTAAATCGTGCTTTGCGCATGCGCAGAAGCACCGAATTGCAACGCGCATGTGCACAGATCGTGTTCGCAACGCAAGCATCCGCTGTACCGTCCTTTATCAGAAGAACCCAGGTCAGTGTACCACATTAAAAACATGTTACAGAACATCAATAATAAAAACATAATAGGAAGCATACTGGCAGATAGCCTCATAATAGTAAAATAGTCACCATAAAAACAATCCTCCACAATTTCACAGGGCATAGATTATTTAATGGCCTAAGGATTGGGTAAAGAGGAATGTTTTTTGCCTGGTGCCTAAAGACATGTAAAGGTAAAGGTAAAGGGACCTCTGACCATTAGGTCCAGTCGTGGCCGACTCTGGGGTTGCGGCGCTCATCTCGCTTTATTGGCCGAGGGAGCCGGCGTACAGCTTCCGGGTCATGTGACCAGCATGACTAAGCCGCTTCTGGCAAACCAGAGCAGCGCACGGAAACGCCGTTTACCTTCCCGCTGGAGTGGTACCTATTTATCTACTTGCACTTTGACGTGCTTTCGAACTGCTAGGTTGGCAGGAGCAGGGACCGAGCAACAGGAGCTCACCCCGTCGTGGGGATTCAAACCGCCGACCTTCTGATCGGCAAGTTCTAGGCTCTGTGGTTTAACCCACAGACATGTAGCATTCCACAATCAGGGGGGCCACCACCGAAAAGTCCCGTTCTCTTGTTGCCAGCCTCCAAATGTCTCTGGGATGGGGAGAAGACAGAGAAGGGCCTCAGAGGACTTATCTAAAGGACTGCTTCATTGCTTTTCATTCTGTATTCAAGCCTGCTGCTCAGTGACAGCACCTGACGTCTCTCCGCAAGAGTTGCTCTTGCCACCAAATCCTAAAGAACTCTTGCCCACGGCCAAACTTACTTGTCGCTGGGATAGGTCTCGAACTCCTCCAGCAGCAAACTCTGGCTGCTGGCCCTTACGGTCGCAGAATTGGTGCTGACATTGGTGTGGATGAGGAACTTGAAGACGGTGCCTGTGTCGGAGGCCAGGAATACCACGGTGTGGTTCCTGCCGGGCCCTGCTGTGGGGTCCACCACAATCTTGCGCAGCTGATACCTGCCCAGAGAAACAGAGGTTGTGGGTTTATCGTCTGCGCGCACAAAACCAGTGCAGGGCTGGTGTGTGTGTGTGTGTGTGTGTGTGTGTGCAGAAAGAAGCAAAGCTCACCACTGTCACAGCAATGATTCCTCAACATCAACTCCCAAAAAATTTACACATCACTTGGGAAGACAGGTGAACTAATACAGTGGTACCTCGGGTTACATATGCTTCAGGTTACAGACTCCGCTAACCCAGAAATAGTACCTCGGGTTAAGAACTTTGCTTCAGGATGGGAACAGAAATTGTGCAGCGGCAGCAGGAGGCCCCATTAGCTAAAGTGGTGCTTCAGGTTAAGAATAGTTTCAGGTTAAGAACGGACCTCCGGAACGAATGAAGTACGTAACCAGAGGTACCACTGTACCAGTGTACTGGAAGAAGCAAAGATCACCAGTGTTGAAGCAATGATTCTTCAACATCAACTTTGTTGGATTGGTCATGTTGTGCGGATGCCTGATGATCGTCTATTCCAAACTTAAAAATGGAAAGCATGATGCTGGTGGTCAACAAAAGAGGCTTAAAGACTCTCTCAAGGCAAAGCTTTAAAAATGTAATATAAACACTGACAACTGAGAAACGCTGGCCTGCGAGTGTTCCAGTTGGAGAACAGCCTTTACCAAAGTTGTCATGGGCTTTGAAGATGCTCATACTCAGGACGAAAGGGAAAAACGTGCTAAAAGGAAGGCAAACCCTCACCAGGATCAACTCCCACCTGGAAACTAATGTCCCCACTGTGGAAGGATGTGTGAATCCAGAATTGTCCTTCAAGGTCACTTATGGACACACCGTCAAGACCATGTTCATGAAAGACAATATTCCTTGGCTATGAGGGATTGCCAAAAAGAAAATGAGATTTGTCTGTTTGTGTGTGTCTATACACAAAAGGTAATAAGTTAAAGGTAAAGGTTAAGGACCGCTGGATGGTTAAGTCCAGTCAAAGGTGACTATGGGGTTGTGGCGCTCATCTCGCTTTCAGGCTGAGGGAGCTGGCATTTGTCCACAGACAGCTTTCCGGGTCACGTGGCCAGCAGGACTAAACTGCTTCTGGCACAACGAGACACCGTGATGGAAACCAAAGTGCATGGAAATGCCGTTTCCCTTCCCGCCGCAGTGGTACCTATTTATCTACTTGCGCCGGTGTGTTTTCGAACGGCTAGGTTGGTAGGAGCTGGGACAGAACAACAGGAGCTCACTCTGTCGTGGGGATTCGAACCATTGACCTTCTGATTGGCAAGCCCAAGAGGCTCAGTGGTTTAGACCACAGCGCCACCCGCATCCCTCTATATACAATATTTAAAATCCCTCCCGTAGAACCTATCAATCGCAGGGAATTTTGCAAGCCACTTTCCTAGGATAGACGAACCTCTCCTCTCCTCCAAATTCTCCGCCTGCCACACCCCTGTTTCTAAAACAGCTGTGATCGTGGATGCCAAACGCAATGACACATTTAATCAGCCAGATCCCACCCACCCCTTCTCAAAGACCCGCCTTGGCTAGCTTGCTCTACCCTTTGCAAAGCGGGTGGCAGCGGGTAGTCAATTAGAGGAAAGTTTTCTGTCATCTCATTAAATCTGCAATTATCCCCACCAATTAATTCTGGCTGTTTTGCATGTGAAGCTAGCCTCGCTAGCAGCACCGGGCGAGGAGAGGGGTGAAGGAGGTGCAAAGGGCTATAGGGAGGAGTAGAGTTCTGGTGGACAATCTCTACTCTATGGGGATGTAAATTATGTCCTTTGCTGCTGGTGGTTATGTATGTATTTGCCTCCGTTCCTGCCGCTGTCCGGAGCTCCCCTCCCCCCCCCCAATTTTATTTTTTTTGGCTAAGCACAGCCTGAAGGATGCACACAGACCCCACCCCCCCAGCCCAATATCTCCCAGTGTGCATTTCTGGCTTGAGAGACAACAGGAACGATGCTTGATTAATTTCACATAAAACATCAATTAAGACAGATTTAATTAGAACCAGCTCGCCTTGGCGGCAGTGCTTAGGAAATTAATGGAAAGTGCTTGTTTTCCCGTCTCTGACACACACACACACACACACACACACACACACACACACGTAAAATGCACAAAGTATTCACGCAAGACAGGTATGCAATATATATTGCATGGAAACGGAATGGTAGCAGCTCTGGGTAGTTGATTAATCCAAATTAGGTAAATCAGCTGAAAAAATACCCTGGCTGTCTCTTGATTAAATTGGTCAGCAGACTTTAACCCCTCATTCTTCTCCAGGCTAAACATAAGTAAAGGTAAAGGGACCCCTGACCGTTAGGTCCAGTCGTGGCCGACTCTGGGGTTGTGGCGCTCATCTCGCTTTACTGGCCGAGGGAGCCGGTGTACAGCTTCCGGGTCATGTGGCCAGCAGGACTAAGCCGCTTCTGGCGAACCAGAGCAGCGCACGGAAACGCTGTTTACCTTCCCGCCAGAGCGGTACCTATTTATCTACTTGCACTTTGACGTGCTTTCGAACAGCTAAGTTGGCAGGAGCAGGGACCGAGCAACGGGAGCTCACCCCGTCGCGGGGATTCGAACTGCCGACCTTCTGATTGGCAAGTCCTAGGCTCTGTGGTTTAACCCACAGTGCCACCCGCGTCCCAGGCTAAACATACCCACGTTGAAATTTTTTTAGCTCTCCCTTACCGGGTCATGGTCCTTATGATCCAGGGTGCGTTGCCCAGCGACGGAACCGACTCGTCCATCAACGGATGCGTCTTGACAAAATTGAGGATCTCGTCCGGGAAGAAGCTCGAGGAATTGTAGCGCATCCCCGGAGCTGCGCAACAACCCGGCCTGCGAGGCAAACATCCAGAAGTCAAGATTCTGCGCTACGTGAGCAAGGAAAGAGGTTCGTAGCCGGACGGGGGCTATTTAGATGTCCCGACAGAAGTAACACCCAAACCCATCTGTTATGTACTAAGCTTGGATCCTAGAACAATAGGCAGGTAGGATCCTAGAATGCAACAAGTGATTGGCTTGCAGAAGAAGACCAATCAGGCTCCAGGAGGAAATTACCGTATTTTTTGCTCCATAAGACGTACTTTTTTCTTCCTAAAAAGTAAAGGGAAATGTCTGTGCGTCTTATGGAGCGAATGCGTGGTCCCTGGAGCCGAATTGCCCAGGGGCAAAAAGCAGATCATGCTTTTTTTCTGAAAGAGGAAAGTGGGTGTTGAAACAAAGCCGCTGATTGTTTGCCAATCGGGGAAAGAGATAAGGGACGCTACAGATAAAGGAGGCTGCCTGGGAGGGGGGAGGTAAAGACAGCAAACTTGCAAAGGGGGGAAACAGGAAGACTAAAGCAATAAGGAGAGAAATTAGAAGAAAAGGAGGAGCAAAAAACTGCTCCAGCTAAGGAAAAGACACAAAGGCAAACAAGAGGGAAGGGTGTGTTGAAAGGAAGCAGCTGATCGGTGGGATCGGGAGAGAGATAAGGGACGCTAGCTGAGGTTGCCTGGGAGTGGGGAGGTAAAAGCACATGGATCCTCAGGTTTTTACATTGGGTCACCCCAAATTCACCATCAGATCACATAGCATGTTCATGGCTATAGCCTTCACCAAAAAACACACACATCCACTGTTTCTTCTGTTGACGAACATTTCGTTGGAAGCCACCCAGAGTGGCGGGGTATAAGCAATAAATTATTATTATTATTATTATAATTATTATTATTATTATTTCAGTTTTCGAACACCGTAAACCCAGAAGTAAACGCTTCAGTTTTCGAACATGCCTCGGAAGTTGAACATGCCACATGGCTTCATATTGAGTTTTCCATATTGAGTTTTCCTATTGAGTGTTCTGCATTGAGGCTTCTGTATTAAGTTTTTGGTTTTCGAACGTTTCAGAATCCGAATGGTCTTCTGGAATGGATTACATTCCGTACTGAGGCTTCTGTATTAAGTTTTCGGTTTTTGAATGTTTCAGAATCCGAACGGTCTTCCGGAACGGATTACATTCAAAAACCGAGGTACCGCTGTATAAGAAAAAGCCTTGCTAGATCAGATGAAGGGATCGTCTGGTCCAGAGCCTGGTTTCCCAAAGCAGCCCATGTGGGGGGAGCTCCTTTTGAGGACATAAATAAGGAACAGCCCTGCTAGGGGAGACCAAAGGACCAGTATCTTGGTATCTGCGGTGACTGACCAAGTGCCTCTCGGAAGCCCTGGGGCGGGACGTGAAGATCTGTAACGACACCTCCTTACGTGCTGTTTGTCCCCGGTGCCACCTCTGAATGCGACGGTTCTGTTGCAGCTTTCACTGTTGTGGAGGACTCCCTGGTCCTGAATGGGGTACCTGTGCCCCTGAAGGACCAGGTGTGCAGCTTTGGAGTCATTCTGGACTCACAGCTGTCCATGGAGTTGCAGGTCAATTCTGTGTCCAGGGCAGCTGTCTATCAGCTCCATCTGGTACGCAGGCTGAGACCCTACCTGCCCGCAGACTGTCTCGCCAGAGTGGTGCATGCTCTGGTTATCTCCCGCTTGGACTACTGCAATGCGCTCTACGTGGGGCTACATTTGAAGGTGACCCGGAAACTACAACTAATTCAGAATGCAGCAGCTAGACTGGTGACTGGGAGTGGCCACCGAGACCATATAACACCAGTCTTGAAAGACCTACATTGGCTCCCAGTATGTTTCTGAGCACAATTCAAAGTGTTGGTGTTGACTTTTCAAGCCCTAAACGGCCTCGGCCCAGTAGACCTGAAGGAGCGTCTCCACCCCCATCATTCAGCCCGGACACTGAGGTCCAGCGCCGAGGGCCTTCTGGCGGTTCCTTCGCTGCGAGAAGCAAAGCTACAGGGAACCAGGCAGAGGGCCTTCTCTGTAGTGGCACCTGCCCTGTGGAACGCCCTCCCATCAGATGTCAAAGAGATAAACAACTACCTGACATTCAGAAGACATCTGAAGGCAGCCCTGTTCAGGGAAGTTTTTAATGTATGACATCTTAGTGTATTTTTGGTCTTTGTGGAAGCCTCCCAGAGTGGCTGGGGAAACCCAGCCAGATGGGCGGGGTACAAATAATAAATTATTATTATTATTTCGCTGGTGGCTTGAAAGAACGTGGCAGCTGTCAGTTTCACTCACCGTGGTTTTGGCACCAGTTCCTCTGGCACAGGGGTCCAAACGGATTCGGGGGATTTCTGCTCGCGGAAGCGCCCCTCGAAGACGGAGGCGATTTGGGCCATGTCAAAGGCACACACAGCAGAGCCTGGTATGCTGGAGAAAGAGAAAAAGAGAAAAAGAGAGAGAAAGAGAGAAAAAAAGAAAGAGCGCGCTTTGCTGTGAATTCACAATATGGCAAATTGTAGGCACGTTGCTCTCCTTCAGCCTCAATAAGGTAAAGGTAAAGGGACCCCTGACCATTAGGTCCAGTCGTGGCCGACTCTGGGGTTGCGGCGCTCATCTCGCTTTATTGGCTGAGGGAGCCGGCGTACAGCTTCCGGGTCATGTGGCCAGTATGACTAAGCCACTTCTGGCGAACCAGAGCAGCGCACAGAAACGTCGTTTACCTTCCCGCCCTATTTATCTACTTCCACTTTGACATGCTTTTGAACTGCAAGGTTGGCAGGAGCAGGGACCGAGCAACGGGAGCTCACCCCGTCGCGGGGATTCGAACTGCCGACCTTCTGATCGGCAAGTCCTAGGCTCTGTGGTTTAACCCACAGTGCCACCCGCGTCCCAGCCTCAATAAGCCCACCTGCAAAAGTGACCTGCCATTTCCTTCTCTTATTCCCTCCACACACACACACCGTTTTAAATACAGTTCTCCGGATTTCTGCAGCCATTTTGCCCTTGAAATATATTGCCGTCATTTCAAGGCAGAGGGTTGTTTATTCTTAAAATGGGTTCTAAAGCAACCTCTTTGAACCGACTGCATTTTAATGATGAAGTGTTTTAACGACAGACTGGATTTCAACAGCAGCGATGGCTTTGACTGGCCGGCTAAACCAGGTGAGGGTAGCCTCAAACCCTTGGCAAGGTCCAATCCATATTTCTCACAATCAGCTCTGATTTCCAGGTTCTTCTTCTTGTTGTTGTGTCCTAGACTGTCTCTCCAGAACAGTGCACACTCTGGTTATCTCCCGCTTGGACTACTGCAATGCGCTCTACGTGGGGCTACCTTTAAAGGTGACCCGGAAACTACAACTAATCCAGAATGCGGCAGCCAGACTGGTGACTGGGAGCGGCTGCCGAGACCATATAACACCAGTCCTGAAAGGCCTACATTGGCACCCAGTACGTTTCTGAGCACAATTCAAAGTGTTGGTGCTGACCTTGAAAGTCCTAACCAGCCTCAGCCCAGTAGACCTGAAGGAGCATCTCCACCCCAATCATCCAGCCCAGACACAGAGGTCCAGCTCCAAGGGCCTTCTGGAGATTCCCTCCCTGCGAGGTTACAGGAAACCAGGCCTTCTCGGTGGTGGCACCCGCCCCGTGGAATGCCCTCCCATAAGATGTCAAGGAAATGAACAACTATCTGAATTTTAGAAGACATCTGAAGGCAACTATGTTTAGGGAAGTTTTTAATGTTTGATGTTTTAATCATGTTTTCAATATTCTGTTGGGAGCCAGCTAGATGGGTGGGGTATGTATGTATGTAAAAGGTAAAGGGACCGCTGATCATTAGGTCCAGTCGTGACGGACTCTGGGATTGTGGCGCTCATCTCGCTTTACTGGCCGAGGGAGCCGGCGTACACCTTCCGGGTCATGTGGCCAGCATGACTAAGCCGCTCCTGGTGAACCAGAGCAGCGCACGGAAACGCCGTTTACCTTTCCGCCGGAGCGGTACCTATTTATCTACTTGCACTTTGAGGTGCTTTCGAACTGCTAGGTTGGCAGGAGCAGGGACCGAGCAATGGGAGCTCACCCCATCGCGGGGATTCAAACCACCGACCTTCTGATCGGCAAGTCCTAGGCTCTGTGGTTTAACCCACAGGGCCACCCACGTCCCTATGTATATTTGTATGTATAAATAAATAATGTTGTGTTATTATACTGTAAACTGTCTTGTGATCTTCGGATGATGGGTGGTTAATAATAATAATAATAATAATAATAATAATATCAGTGTAAACAAATGCAGTGCAAAAACTCAAGGCAGAAGGAACTCTAGATGTTTTGAGGGCTGAGTCCTGGAGAGCCCCCCACCCCAACTCAGATCTGGGCCCCCGCCATTCCCAACCACCACTGACCTGTTGGCAGGTGTGGAAAAGACGGCAAGCACAACTGGCCGGCCATCGATCTCCAGGATGTCCGTGACAGACTGGATGACATTGAAGTAGAAATGGGAGTCTCCCGGGACGGAACAGTTGAGGCGGGCCTTGAGGAAGGAGGTCCACTGCTTCTCCAGAACACGCTGAGAGCCGCCCATGTCGTTCTTACAAACTCTGGCCACCCGAGACACCACCACCTACGATGTGGGGACATCAAGGAAGGTCAGAGGAATCTGGGTCCAAGGGTCCCTGGGGGCTGGCACCAGGCCTGGTCAACAATGCCCATGTAGACCTCCTCTCTCCATCTTACCTTCTCTAAGTAGTTGAACTCCATTGCGATCTCCCTGAAGAAGAAATAGACGTGGCTCTTCCACTCCACAGCGCGGACAAAATATGGTTCTGGGTGGGGAGAGTCCAGATAAAGGAGGTTATTTTTATTATTTGTATGGTTTAATGCTTTATTTAAGCATACAGTCATACTTCGGCTTGAATACGCTTCAGGTTGAGCGCTTTCGGGTTGTGCTCCGCAGTGACCCGGAAGTAATGGAGCGCGTTACTTCCGGGTTTCGCCGCTCGCGCATGCGCAGACGCTCAAAATGACGTCACGTGCATGCACGGACGTGGTGAATCGCTACCCGCGCACGCGCAGTCACGGGTTGCGTTCGTTTCAGGATGCGAAAGGGGCTCCGGAATGGATCCTGTTTGCATCCTGAGGTATTTACAAACAAACAAACAAACAAACAAACAATAAGGTACACACACTTAACCCCCAAAACCAGAGAGTAAAGGGAAAGGGTAAGAAAGAAAAAAGGATGAAGAACCACACCCATCTGACTCCTCTCCACCACCACTTGTCACCTTTAAGTCATTTAAATTCTTATTTACGTTGCATATCATTTATCGCTGTAGAGTGGTACCTCTGCTTAAGAACTTAATTCGTTCTGGAGGTCCGTTCTTAACCTGAAACTGCTCTTAACCTGAGGTACCACTTTAGCTAACGGGGCCTCCCGCTGTACTGTACTGATGAACTGGAAAAATAAAAATGTGGCTCCCTTCTACGATTGGATTGAAGACTTATGCAAACTCGCAACATATAAACAACTTGCATATAAACACAGATGCCATGGACAAATTCTGTGATATTTGGAACCCATTCTTGCAAATACAGTGGTACCTTGGGTTACATATGCTTCAGGTTACAGATGCCTCAGGTTACAGACTCCACTAACCCAGAAATATTACCTCGGGTTAAGACCTTTGCTTCAGGATGAGAACAAAAATCGCGCGGCGACAGCAGGAAGCCCCATTAGCTAAAGTGGTACCTCAGGTTAAGAACAGTTTCAGGTTAAGAACGGACCTCTGGAACGAATTAAGTACTTAACCTGAGGTACCACTGTACTGTAATAGGTTAAAATCTGGTGAAGTACAGTAACAACCTTGTAAAATATAAAGTTTTGTTTCCCCCCTCCCCAATTTATTTTCCCTTTTACATGGGTTCTCTTTCTCTTTCTATATTTTATTTACGTATCCCCCTGTTTAGTGCACATATAATTATGTACTTTTTGAACTTTTGATAAAGATGTTTAAAAGCAAAACACCCATGTATTTTATTCCGGTTTGCCAGCCGATTTAAAGAAGCCTCAGTCGATTCGTCGCAAGGACGTTTTCCTCGACACTGATTCATCCGTTGAGCATGCTGCCTCGTGTTATGAGCGAACGGAGGGGCTTTTCCCACTCCTGCCTCCCCCTGGCCTCCCCCCACCGCGGAGCGAATCGACAAAGCACCTTTAAACCACTTGGAGTCGTGCTTGACTGTGCGAAGAGTCGGGCTGTCTCCCAGGCTGCGGTAAATTACTGCGTCGATGGCCAGGAAATCCGTCACGGTGGCGGTGAAAAGCATTCCACCTGTCAGGGAAGGGGAGATAGATATGAGGTGTTGTGAGAGAGAGGCGTTGTAAATAACGCCAGGTGGGCATGTTGCGCAGCGCCCGGAAGTTGGAACCACCAAAGAAAATGCTCTAGCTCAGCCAGAGAGTGCGTGCCCTGCGTACAAAAGGTCCCCAATTCAATAAAAAAGGTAAAAGGCAAAGGACCCCTGGATGGTTCAGTCCAGCTAAAGGCGACTATGGGGTTGCGGCGCTCATCTCGCTTTCAGGCCGAGGGAGCCGGCGTTTGTCCACAGATAGCTTTCCGGGTCATGTGGCCAGCGGGACTAAACCACTTCTGGCGCAACGGGACACTATGACAGAAACCAGAGGGCACGGAAATACCGTTTCCCTTCCCGCCACAGCGGTACCTATTTATCTACTTGCGCTGGCGTGCTTTCGAGCTGCTAGGTTGGCAGGAGCTGGGACAGAGAAACAGGAGCTCACCCCGTCACGGGGATTCAAACCGCCGACCTTCCGATCGGCAAGCCCAAGAGGCTCAGTGGTTTAGACCACAGCACCACCCGCGTCCCATAGGTCAATGCAAACCACACTCTTTGTACACATGACATGACTGCAGAACAAATTTCAAAGATGTGCAGATTTCAATTCCCATATTATTTTGGGAAGTCTGAATTAAGCAGGCTTGCCTCAGAATGCCAACTCAATCCATTACAATAATAATAATAGTAGTAGTAATAATAATAGTAGTAGTAGTAGTAATAATAATAATTTATTTATACCCCGCCCATCTGGCTGAGTTTTCCCAGCCACTCTGGGCAGCTCCCAATCAAATGTTAAAAACAATACAGCGTTAAATATTAAACACTTCCCTGAACAGGGCTGCCTTCAGATGTCTTTTGAAGATAGGATAGCTGCTTATTTCCTTCACATCTGAAGGGAGGGCGCCACTACCGAAAAGGCCCTCTACCTGGTTCCCTGTAACCTCACTTCTCGCAATGAGGGAACAGCCAGAAGGCCCCTGGCGCTGGATCTCAGTGTCTGAGCTGAACGATGGGGGTGGAGACGCTCCTCCAGGTATATATTCTAATATATTTATTAGAAACCATGTGACTCTGTGGGTGTGTTTTTAATTTAAGGTTGGGCACATAGGACCAAACAGAGGCAGGGAAGGCATCTATGATTCTTAACAAGCGGGGTCATCCCTCTACTAACACACACAAAAACGCCTTGTATCTCAAGGACCACAGATAACCCACTTCATTGTCGCCATAGGAACCAGAGACTGGCTTGCTTCTCTGTCGTTGAAAGAGCTCATTATTTGTGCGTGTGAGACCAGGCTTGGGGAGACGCAGGTTCAAATCCTTGATTGGTAGCCTTGAATGTGTCCCCGGTCTAACCTACCCCTCATGGTTGTTGTGATGCTTAAGGAAACCCATATATATTTGCAGGGCTGGGGGCAGGGAATGGGTGCATGCAGGCAGCCTTGAGCTCCTTGCAGGAAAGGTGAGGTATAAATGCTGTTTCTGCTTGCTGAGTCATAACATAGCTGTCAACTGTCCCTTATTTGGCAGGAAAGTCCTTTATCCCAGCACAGTGTCCCGCTGCTGTCCCTTATTGATGATGTCCCTTAAATTTCCTGGGTTTCAAAGGAAGCAGCTCCTCTCCCTCCCTGCCAGCCAGGGAGGAGGGAGGCTCCAACTGGGTTGCTTGGCTGCGTTGCTCACCCAATAAGGAGTCTAAGAACGACTGGGGGGTGGAGCTTGCATGCCTTGTGCCGATCAAATCGGCCGCCTTGCCTGGGGACTCGCCTTTGCTCAGCGCTTCCCAGCGGAGAGGTGACGGTGGTTTTCCTTGCTGCATCCCCTTTGCCGGGTTGCTGCGCTGTGGGAACCACCTCTTGAGGCTTCGTTTGGCTGCTGGCTGGGCTTTCATAGAATCATAGAATCATAGTATGATATTCTTGTAAAGAAGCTGGTAAAATAACAGAATACTGACTATACACACTGGTAGTTATGTGTGGCTGACCAGACCCAAGATTGCTCATCAATGGTCCCTCTTCATCCTGGAGAAAGAGTGACTAGTGAAGTGCCACAGGAGTTCTGTCTTGGGCAGTCTTATTCAACATCTTATCAAACTTGGATGATGGACTCAAGGGCATCCTGATCAAATTTGCAGATGACACCAAATTGGAGGTAGCCTTTTTAGGGACAGGATCCTTTAAAACAGCTGACAATTCAAGAACTAGGCCAAAACAAACAAGACAGATTTGGAAGTGCAGGCAGTTATATAGAGCAAAACTAGAAACTCTAACAGAATTTTTGTTAGGCAAGCCATGTGCAAGGACCAGAGTAAATTATTACAAACATGTCAACGATGTAGTATGATTAAGTAATGCAGTTCTAAGCTGCATCATACAGGCACAGCAGCCAAGTCTAAAAATGTAATGCCACACATTCACCATAAAATTAAAGACCTCTTTGCAGCCTGTTAATGGTTCTATTTTTAGTTCAAGGTGTTAAACAACTGGAAGTATTAATCTGGCAGAGTATCTTAAAACAGTAAGGCCTAAACGAGGTCTTAGCATACACACACAGAACTGGCATTTATCTTCTGAGTGAGCGATTAAGACACATCATGTTTCAGCATAAAAGAACGCCACAGAGAGGTTGTTTCTGCTACTCAGAAGGAAGGCTTTGGGCATGGATCAACTTTAGAAAGAAGATTCCACCTAAACATTGGGAAGAACTTTACAGCATTCAAGAGCTGTTCGACAGTGAATTTGCTGCTGAGGAGTATGGTGGAGTCTCTTGCTGGAGTCTTTACAAGCAGAGGCTTGACAGCCCATATCAAGAGTGCTCTGCTGGTGTTTCCTGCTTGGCAGGGGGTTGGACTCGATGGCCCTTGTGGTCTCTTCCAACTCTATGATTCTATGATTCTATGAAAATACTTCCCTCCGTGCTCTGAACTGACCTGTGAAGAGAGCGACGTTGGCGTGTTTGGGGTCATAGGGGCATCGAGCCATCCCACTGATGTTGTCTCCCGTGGGCTCCAACGTGTCCATCTGGTGGGAGGAAAAGATAGTTAGACAAACTGCAGATCTCTCGAGGGGCTGGGCAAAAGGAAACGGGCTGTATCCAACGACCCAGGACCCACTGGCATTAATGGACCCAAGTTAAAGGTAAGATGTTGAGAATTCTGTTCCACCTTAAGGAACAGACATGGGATTGTTACGTGTCACATGTCTGTTTACATTCCAGCACAGCTTGCTGGGAACTTCCGTTGTGTGTATAGCCTTTGTTTTCCCCGTTCTCTCTGAGACGACACGAGAAAGAGACGACATGTTTCTTTGTCCTGATATATGATTAATAAATCTGTAGATGCAGTATACTTCCACAAGTCTCACACCTATTCTGTGTGTGCAGTTATCTCTGCTGACAGTGTGCCCTGGCTTTTGAAGCCCAGGTCGCTGATTTACCCCTGACAGTTAAGTCCAGGCGCGGATGACTCTGGGGTTGCAGTGCTCATCTCACTTTACTGGCCAAAGGAGCAGATGTTTGTCCACAGACAGTTTTTCCGGGTCATGTGGCCAGCATGACTAAGCCGCTTCTGGTGAACCAGAGCAGCACATGGAAATGCCATTTACCTTCCCGCCAGAGTGGTACCTTTTTATCTACTTGCACTTTGACATGCATTCAAACTGCTAGGTTGACAGGAGCAGGGACCAAAGAATGGGAGCTCACCACGTTGCGGGGATTCGAACCGCCGACCTTCCGATCGGCAAGCCCAAAAGGCTCTGTGGTTTAGACCACAGCGCCACCCGCATCCCTGGTTTATAATATAGATAAGTGCATATACTGAACGCCCCTTCCATCTGCCCTTCGGTTTATTGCAGTTGTTTCGGTCTTGCTCATCCAGCAGTGATTGGGGTGGTTCTGCAACAGAAAGCTAGAATTTTGGTGCACAACCTGTACACTCGAAGCAGAGCTATTTGCCAAGTGTCGAACCTTATTTGTAGCCAAAGCTCGCAAGAGGGTGTTATCGGCAGACTTGAGGGAACCCTGAAATTCACAGCAGCTGCAAGACATCTTTAGGTGTTGGTGGGCAGCCACCAAAACAGCTCAAAGTCAGCACAGAACCACAGAACAACCACAGGTGGCTGTCAAAGGAGGGGAGCAGCAAACTGCCCACCCGCTCTTTTTACTCGCAACCACACCAGGGGATTGTCAATGACTGTCCCTCTCCTCCGACTCAGTGTTTGCCCCTTGTAGAAGTTGGAAGGGAGGGGGCAAAACAAGAATTAGCTGGCTCTGCCTTCCACTGTCTTTGGCGCCCCCTACTGTTGGGCTCAGGGATGCGGGTGGCGCTGTGGGTTAAGCCACAGAGCCTAGGGCTTGCTGATCAGAAGGTCGGCGGTTCGAATCCCCGCAACGGGGTGAGATCGCATTGCTCGGTCCCTGCTCCTGCCAACCCTGCTCCTGTTCAAAAGCACATCGGTGCAAGCAGATAAATAGGTACTGCTCCGGCGGGAAGGTAAACAGCATTTCCGTGCGCTGCTATGGCTCACCAGAAGTGGCTTAGTCATACTGGCCACATGACCCGGAAGCTGTACGCCAGCTCCCTCGGCCAGTAAAGCGAGATGAGCACCGCAACCCCAGAGTCGTCCGTGACTGGACCTAACGGTCAGGGGTCCCATTACCTTTACCGTTGGGCTCCTGGCCTTCTGCCCAAGGGGCACCAGTCACCCCTGGCCAGAACACTATTTGAACCATTGGGCATGAAATAATAGCCCATAACGTCGGCCGTGTATATTGGGAGGGGAAGCAGGAATCTGGACGCTCACTTCACACGATTCAGCCAGACTAGTTGGGGCGCAAGGGATATTTGTGCCGGGTGCAAACTGGGGTGAGCGATGAGTTACGGGCACTGCCTGGCCGGCCCCAAGTTCCTGATACTCACGGTGTAGTTGGCGCAGATGGGATTGAAAGCGTTGGTGCCGCACACGAAGAGGAGGTTGTCGTTGCGAAGCAAAAGCACTTTGATAAAATTCCGGCACTCTGCCTGGGGAGGAGAAGCGAAGCGATGAAGGCTGCAAAGCGAAAAGCACTCCTGACATGCTCAGAGTTTGCAAGGCCACTTCCGCCTTCAGGAGGTGGTGGGGTTGCGGGCTTCACGGCCCCTCCACTCGCGCAGTGGGTGGAAGCCAGCCCTGCGGGGGATTCCCCTAGCCGGCCAATCGGCAGGTTCGGGGGGCGTGGCCTGCCCTATATAGGCAGGCCACGGCCGGAGATCTCCCTCTTTGCTGCCCACCAGCTGTTCCTGTTTTCCCACCCTATAAGGTTTTCGTTCCTTGACCTTGCTATGGACCTCGGTTGGTCGCTGTTGAGGGGCCTGGTAGGAATTTTCCCACTTGGCAAATTGGCACCAGCCACTTGGTTATCGCCTACCTCGTAGCAAATCGCCACAACTTTCTGGGTATTGGCGGTTAGGCATTGGTATGGTTCTGTAGATGGAAGAGGGGAGGAAGCGCCATCACCTGCCCCACATATTGAAGGGTAGTCCAATAAAGGATTCCTGGGGGCGTGGCCCTGTCCGAAGCCTAGGGAGGTGAGGGCCTAAGACCCGCCCCCTATCGGTGACCCCGGGGGAGTTCCTAGTTGATGCGCATCAGCAGGACTCCCCCTACTGGTGGTTAACCCTTCCCGGACTTCAAGCAGATGGGCTGGAGTAGGATATAGTGGGTTAGGACCAATGTCTAAGCCAATACCGCTCATCCCCTGTAACCAATAAAGCTGTGGCCTTTTTTAGCCCATTAACCTTAATAATTGTGTCATGTGTCATTATTTCCGCCTGGGGAGGTCGGGAACTTGCCACGCAACGTTACTCTGCTGGCCTAGATGGGAAGCGAGCCCCATAGGGGGCTGAAGGCAGGCTGGGCCCAGGTCAGATCGAGTCTCTGACGCTTCTTTTCTTGTACCTACCACACACCTCATAAAAACAAGCCAGGACTCCTTCTGAACAAGCAAAACACTTTTATCATCATTTTTACTCCCCCTATTTGCAAGTTCAGTGCTCTGTGCTGTCAGGTGCAGGGCCAAATTCAGTCCACTTTGCATCTGTAAGTGAACCTACTAAGTCTGCACTTTGCAAACCGAATCAGAGCCATTCTGTTAGAATTTGCACTTTTCTGAATTTTTGTGGTGTAGTTCCCTGGGCAAGAGATGTGCATTTATATAGTAAGGTAGGAAAATGTGTATACAGTGGTACCTCAGGTTAAGTACTTAATTCGTTCCGGAGGTCCGTACTTAACCTGAAACTGTTCTTAACCTGAGGTACCACTTTAGCTAATGGGGCCTCCTGCTGCTGCCATGCCGCCGGAGCACAATTTCTGTTCTCACCCTGAAGCAAAGTTCTTAACCTGAAGCACTATTTCTGGGTTAGCCGAGTCTGTAACCTGAAGCGTATGTAACCTGAAGCGTATGTAACCTGAGGTACTACTGTATTAGGGAAAACAGAATACAAAGATGCATTATACGGGGGGAATTGCTTTGCAAAAGTGTGTGCATTAGACAGGGTTTCCATACATCCAGAATTTCCCAGACGTAACCAGAATTCAGCCTTTGTAAACAGCACCTGGGCAGAAATTGCTGAAATGTCCAGGAAAATCCAGAAGTGTAGATTCTGTCACATTTCATTAAAAATAGCTCAAAAACTTTTCTTTCTTTTTTTTAGATATTACAAAAAAAAAAAAAAAAAAGCTCAAAAATTTTTGTGTCCGGATTTATCACTTTTTGAAATATGGCAACTCTAGTACAGTATTAGAAGGAGAAAACATACAGAACATGCAGATATTGAGCAAAATTTGCCCTAAGATGCTACAATTAAGCCTCGGTCCCGTATACCTGAAGGTGCGTCTCCACCCCCATCGTTCTGCCCGGACGCTGAGGTCCAGCGCTGAGGGCCTTCTAGTGGATCCCTCACTGCAAGAAACCAAGTTACAGGGAACCAGGCAGAGGGCCTTCTCGGTGGTGGCGCCTGCCCTGTGGAACGCCCTCCCACCAGATGTCAAAGAGAACAACAACTACCAGACTTTTAGAAGACATCTGAAGGCAGCCCTGGGCTGCATCAATAGGAGTATAGCATCTAGATCAAGGGAAGTAATAGTGCCACTGTATTCTGCTCTGGTCAGACCTCACCTGGAGTACTGTGTCCAGTTCTGGGCACCACAGTTCAAGAAGGACACTGACAAACTGGAACGTGTCCAGAGGAGGGCAACCAAAATGGTCAAAGGCCTGGAAACGATGCCTTATGAGGAACGGCTAAGGGAGCTGGGCAAGTTTAGCCTGGAGAAGAGGAGGTTAAGGGGTGATATGATAGCCATGTTCAAATATATAAAAGGATGTCACATAGAGGAGGGAGAAAGGTTGTTTTCTGCTGCTCCAGAGAAGCGGACACGGAGCAATGGATCCAAACTACAAGAAAGAAGATTCCACCTAAACATTAGGAAGAACTTCCTGACAGTAAGAGCTGTTCGACAGTGGAATTTGCTGCCAAGGAGTGTGGTGGAGTCTCCTTCTTTGGAGGTCTTTAAGCAGAGGCTTGACAACCATATGTCAGGAGTGCTCTGATGGGGTTTCCTGCTTGGCAGGGGGTTGGACTCGATGGCCCTTGTGGTCTCTTCCAACTCTAGGATTCTATGATTCTATGAGCCCTGGTTAGGGAAGCTTTTAATGTTTGATGCATTACTGTATTTTAATATTTTGTTGGAAGCCACCCAGAGTGGCTGGGGAAGCCCAGCTGGATGGGCGGGGTATAAATAATAAATTATTATTTTTATTATTATTATCACGAGGACTTGTTTTTCAAAAATTCGCAAACTGGTGTGGAAATGTGGAGAGCTGAGTTTCAGATTAGAAAAATGAGAAGCAACATGGGTTTTTTTCGGGGGGGGTTGACATCTCTGAAGTTTGGAGACGTACAATAGAATCCAACAAAACTCTCAAACCATAGAAGTGCCCTTCACCCCCCAAAAAGCAGTATTTTTTGACCAGGAATCATGGACATGTTTGCATGCTATTGTTTTGTTTGTTATTACACTGTGCATTTTGTGTGCGTGTGCTTTTATATTGCAAACTGCCCTGTGATCCCCGGACAAAGGGCAGTGTAGAATTTTTTATTTTTAAATCGATCTAATCCATGCTATTTCAAAGCACACTTTCCCCGGACAGACGCCTCTTTGCGCGCATTGTTCCGTCAGGGAACCGGGTCTCCAAATTTGGAAGGGCGCAGATAGCGAAGCGGAATCGTTTGCGTATCGTTTCGCAAAGTGTGGGTTTGGTCAGTCCCCCACCTTTGTTGTTGCTGTTTAGTCATTTAGTCGTGTCCGCCTCTTCGTGACCCCCTGGACCAGAGCACGCCAGGCCCTCCTGTCTTCCACCGCCTCCTGCAGTTTGGTCAAACTCATGTTGATAGCTTCGAGAACACTGTCCCACCATCTCGTCCTCTGCCGTCCCCTTCTCCTTGTGCCCTCCATCTTTCCCAACATCAGGGTCTTTTCCAGAGAGTCTTCTCTTCTCATGAGGTGGCCAAAGTCTTGGAGCCTCAGCTTCAGGATCTGTCCTTCCAGTGAGCACTCAGGGCTGATTTCCTTCAGAATGGAGAGGTTTGATCTTCTTGCAGTCCATGGGACTCTCAAGAGTCTCCTCCAGCACCAGAATTCAAAAGCATCCATTCTTTGGCGATCAGCCTTCTTTATGGTCCAGCTCTCACTTCCATACATCACTACTGGGAAAACCATAGCTTGAACTATATGCACCTTTGTTGGCAAGGTGATGTCTCTGTTTTTTAAGATGCTGTCCAGGTTTGCCCCCCCCTTAAACGTGAGCAAAATAGAGTCTCTTATCTTGTCCCTGGTTTCAGGTTGTGCTTTTTAAAAAAAACTTGCTGTTGGCGATATCTTGACATTTGCACCTCACTCTTTACATCTTGTGCGGGTAGTAAAGGTAAAGGTAAAGGTACCCCTGCCCGTACGGGCCAGTCGTGTCCAACTCTAGGGTTGTGCGCCCATCTCACTTAAGAGGCCGGGGGCCAGCGCTGTCCGGAGACACTTCCGGGTCACGTGGCCAGCGTGACGAAGCTGCTCTGGCGAGCCAGCGCAGCACACGGAAACGCCGTTTACCTTCCCGCTATAAAGCGGTACCTATTTATCTACTTGCACTTTAGGGGTGCTTTCGAACTGCTAGGTGGGCAGGAGCTGGGACCAAAAGACGGGAGCTCACCCCGGCGCGGGGATTCGAACCGCCGACCATGCGATCGGCAAGCCCTAGGCGCTGAGGTCTTACCCACAGCGCCACCCACGTCCACCCTCGTGCGGGTACCAGTAGTAATAATACTACTGGTAACACGCAACAACAGCAGCAAGAATACTCATCGCAAAGTATTGGAAGACACAAGAGTTACCCACACTGGAGGAATGGCAGATGAAACTGATGGACTATATGGAACTGGCGGAAATGACTGGTAGAATCCGTGACCAGGGAGAAGAGTCGGTGGAAGAAGATTGGAAGAAATTTAAAGATTATCTACAGAAACATTGCAAAATCAAAGAATGTTAGAGTGATGATGGATTGAAATTAAGTGGTTTCTAGCTGTACAGGCGTTAAAGTTATATATAGACTAAGATTAAGGATTAGGCATAAAAAGGTTAAAAGAATGGAAAATTGGCTATTAATAGATAAGAATTTAATGTTATACCATATTAAGATTAAGGATTGGGATTTAAAAAGAGGGAAAGAAATTGCTGGACAAACAAATTGAACTGGAATACAAAAGAGGGAGGTACGAGGAGGTCCAGAAAATAAGTAAATTCAAAAGTGGTGATGAAAAGGTGGTATTGTTTTTAATTGTTTTTTCCTTTTTTTTTTTGCATTTTGTATTGTGTATTTTTGTATTGTGTACTTTTCTTTTTACTTTTAATTTTCTTTTACTGATGTGTTCTGTTTTTATTGGAAACTTTAATAAATATCATTTAAAAAAATTAAAAATAATACTACTGGTAACAAATGGGAAAAGCCACCGTTCTCGCTCCCGCCCCCCATCTCCGTGGCCAGCTATTTGGCTCCAAGCTTGCTATCTCTTCTCCTTCACCCTCGCCTGCTCTAGCACAGACCTTTGTGTTTCTATTGTGAGTTCTCATCCTCTCTCTTTGCTCTCCCATCTAAGCACCTTTCTTCCCTCTCTGTTTCCATGGTTTCCTAGCAGGCCAGAGAGAGAGAGAGAGAGGAACGAGGTTGGGTGAGCCATTCCCCCCCTCCCTGCAAACTCCGCTCACTTTCCCACTTCCTGCTAGCATCTCTACTTCATCTTTCGAAGCCATAATCCCTGCCAGGGTGGAAGGCAGGGGAAAAAATGGTGTGTGTGTGTTTTAATCCCCAGAAATGGAGACCCTCCATGTGTCCCTATTTTCCAGGGACAATCCTGGATTTACAGAAGCCGTCCTGGTTTCTGATTTGATCCCAGAATTTCCCGCTTTTCCTTAGGATGTCCCTGTTTTCATCGGGGAAATGTTGGAGGGGAAGGAATAAGATGTCACTATTTTCATTGGGGAAATGTTGAAGAGGATGGAATAGGATGTCCCTATTTTCCTCAGAGAAACATTGGAGGGGATGGAATAGGATGTCCCTATTTTCCTCAGAGAAACATTGGAGAGGATGGAATAGGACGTCCCTATTTTCATCAGAGAAATGTTGAAGGGGATGGAATAGGACGTCCCTATTTTTCTCAGAGAAACATTGGAGAGGATGGAATAGGATGTCCCTATTTTCCTCAGAGAAATGTTGGAGAGGATAGAATAGGATGTCCCTATTTTCACTGGAGAAATGTTGGAGGGGATGGAATAAGATGCCCCTATTTTCATCAGAGAAATGTTGGAGGATCTGGAGTTATGAAGCTATCAGTATGGGTTCCTCATTTTTACCCCAATCGAATATGTGCCTTTTTCATAAGCGTGTGCATTTCTCTTGGCTGGAGAACTGCGATGTGAAATTCGGAGAACTATAAATTTCGAAAGCTGGTTTGCACCTTGTTTCGGAAAAGTGTGCATTTGGTCGTTTCGCCTTGAAATGCAAACGGGATTTCTCTGCCTCCCGCCCCTGGCCAAATATACCTAGGATTTGGAGAAGGACCACAGGGCAGCCTCTGGCATTTCATGTTTGGCAAATTTGTTGTTGTTGTTTAGTCATTTAGTCGTGTCCGACTCTTCGTGACCCCCTGGACCAGAGCACGCCAGGCACTCCTGTCTTCCACTGCCTCCTGCAGTTTGGTCAAACTCATGCTGGTAGCTTCGAGAACACTGTCCCACCATCTCGTCTTCTGTGTCCCCTTCTCCTTGTGCCCTCCATCTTTCCCAACATCAGGGTCTTTTCCAGGGAGTCTTCTCTTCTCATGAGGTGGCCAAAGTATTGGAGCCTCAGCTTCAGGATTTGTCCTTCCAGTGAGCACTCAGGGCTGATTTCCTTCAGAATGGATAGGTTTGATCTTCTTGCAGTCCATGGGACTCTCAAGAGTCTCCTCCAGCACCAGAATTCAAAAGCATCCATTCTTTGGCGATCAGCCTTCTTTATGGTCCAGCTCTCACTTCCATACATCACTACTGGGAAAACCAGAGCTTTAACTATACGGACCTTTGTTGGCAAGGTGATGTCCCTGCTTTTAAAGATGTTGTCTAGGTTTGTCATTGCTTTTCCCCCAAGAAGCAAGCGTCTTTTAATTTTGTGGCTGCTGTCACCATCTCCAGTGATCATGGAGCCCAAGAAATTAAACCCTGTTTAATTTTTCACCCTCCGACCCCCACCGCTCTCTGTTCTCCCAGGGAAAGTCTCTGGATGGCCCAAACTGGAGCCTCTCTGGGACCTGCGCGCCGTGTTTCATACTCTCCCTTCAGCTCCTGGCAAACATTTTATATCCAACGTGATTTATTAAGAGGCTCATATAATTGGTTTTGTAATTAATTATTTCTGGTCTGTTGATCGGAACAGACACATCTCATAATCGGTGCGAAATCCAATTTCCAGATTCTATTAACGCCTCCCTGGGCCGAGTGCGAGGGAGAAGAGCCAGACTTTCCCAGGAGACATCCCAAAAGGATTCAAGACCAGCAGAGAGAAACTCTGGGGAGTCTCCTTGCCTGCAACTGGGGAGCGGGGATCGCAGGCACCTTGTGACTGAGGTAAGTGTGTGTCAGGGCAAGCAGGCAAACTCTTTTAGCGGCCTATTTAAAGGACGTGAGCTAACACTTCACAGGAACACAAAGTTAATCCCTGTGATAATTTGGTCTTTGAAATAGAGCAAAATGCTCTACAGCAGAACCTCGGTTTTTGAACGTCTCCGTTGCTGAACCTTTCGGAACACGAACGCCGAAAACCCGGAAGTAAATGCTCCCGTTTTTGAACACGCCTCAGAAGTCGAAACAGCTTCCGCTGTGTGTTTTTCAATTTTCTCAACTGAATTTGCTGGCAGCCCTTTGCGCCTCAGTTTTCTAACATTTCAGAACTCAAACGGTCTTCTGGAATGGATTACGTTTGAGAAACTCTTTTATTTTGTTCCGAGCTTTTAAGTTTTCTCGTCGGTGTTTTTCATCTTGATCCTGGCTGCTGACTGTAATCAAACGGCTACAGAGCAAAATGTACATTCCCATTTTGAGTATTGGATCTGTGGGGCTGTCAGAGAGCCACTGCCACCTGGCTACTTGAAAACATGGCCTTGTCACCGTGGTCACCTGATCCCGGATCAGCTGAGCTAGGTACAAAAGGAGAGACAGAGATGCTGGAATGAGAGAATCTCAGAGATGCACCGAAGAAGGGGTGGATCCAGCCAGTTCTTTTGTTTCCCCTTCCCTCGCAGACCAGATTTGACAGGAGGCGGGGCTACCCACCTGTCAATCACCTAACGTCAGAATGACACTAGACGATTGCCAGAATGGATTACAGTGGTACCTTGGGTTAAGAACTTAATTCGTTCTGGAGGTCTGTTCTTAACCTGAAACTGTTCTTAACCTGAGGTACCACTTTAGCTGATGGGGCCTCCCGCTGCCGCCGCTGTGCAATTTCTGTTCTCATCCTGAAGCAAAGTTCTTAACCTGAGGTACTATTTCTGGGTTAGAGGAGTCTGTAACCTGAAGCGTCTGTAACCTGAAGCGTCTGTAACCCGAGGTAGTACTGTACGTTCAAAAACAGAGGTATCACTGTCGTTGGTCAAGGGAGCCATGGACTCAGAAAGGTTGAAGACCTCTGTTTTATGCAATCTCCTAGTCCCTATTATTGCAAAGCTCAGTTTGAAAATATCCTGGTGATTAGGAAGGCCTTAGTCGTCCCTGCCCCATTTCTGTGAAATGCTGACCCATTTATAGGGATGAGTCACTCTAGAGCTAGACATCCAAACACCTGCAGAAATTGGCCAGGAGTCCTTAAAAATCAACACATCCTATTCAAAAGCAAAGGACCACACTGAGGATCTCCCCAAGTGTCCTTATTTTCCAGGGATAGTCCTGGATTCAGTAGTGATGTATGGAGGTGAGAGCTGGACCATAAAGAAGGCTGATGGCCGAAGAATGGATGCTTTTGAATTCTGGTGCTGGAGGAGACTCTTGAGAGTTCCATGGACTGCAAGAAGATCAAACCTCTCCATTCTGAAGGACATCAGCCCTGAGTTCTCACTGGAAGGACGGATCCTGAAGCTGAGGCTCCAAGACTTTGGCCACCTCATGAGAAGAGAAGACTCCCTGGAAAAGACCCTGATGTTGGGGAAGATGGAGGGCACAAGGAGAAGGGGACGACAGAGGACGAGATGGTGGGACAGTGTTCTCAAAACTGCTAACATGAGTTTGACCAAACTGCGGGAGGCAGTGGAAGACAGGAGGGCCTGGCGTGCTCTGGTCCATGGGGTCACGAAGAGTCGGACACGACTAAACGACTTAACAACAAAAAGTCCTGGATTAACAGAAGCCATCCCACGTTTTTGACTTGATTCCGGAATGTCTTGCTTTTCCTTAGGACGTTGACGTTTCTCAGCCATTTTTAAGGAAATTCGCCAAAAAACCAACAGTCCTGACACGTGTTGCCATACGCCTGGGTTTTCCTGGACATTTTTTACCGATTTTTGGAAATTCCGCCAGGACGCAATTTCTGACGGAAATGGCAGCCCAAGTTAAGCTGAAGTTCCTTAAAGCTAGGGTATCGGAGGCTCTGCAGAGTTTTGCAGACATATGAGAATGTTGAGGGGGAAAACTCTGTGCCCAGTAATACTTTAGATGTGAGATTGAGGGTGGGGGGCGAAGTCTAGGTGCTCTGAACATGCTTGAGTGTGCAACACGAAGACACACCGTGAGTGGCAGAACCAATTATGCAAAAGATGTCATTACTGGCAAGCGTAATGATTTCTTCAAGCTGCCGAGTCCAGCTTTCTTCGGAGCATGGCGTCAGTTATGTTAGCCCAGGACCTGGATGTTAAAAAGCATCGCAAAACATGCAACAGCAAATATGTGGAGATTTCTGGCCAGCTGTTCCCTGGGTCTCCTCTTCCTGATAAGGTTCAAGTTTCTTATTTTTCCAATCTTACCTTCAGCTCCGCACATTTCCACATCTGTTTGCAAACTTTTTTTATTTTTTTAAAGGCCCCATGCAAATTCATTGGCATCTTAGGGCAAATTTCTCCTGATCGACACCATTCGGTGTGCAATTTTGCCTAATACAGGGGCTACCTCGGATCTCGAACGAATCCATTCCAGAAGCCCGTCCAGCTTCCGAAACGTTCGATAACTGGGGCGTGGCTTCCCATTGGTTGCAAACCTTCTTGCACTCAGCAGAAAATGCGTTGCACACTTGGGTTCTGAAAAACGTTCGAAAACGGAAGCATTTACTTCCGGATTTTCGGCATTTGAGAACCAAAACGCACGACAACAGAGGCATTCGCGAACCAAGGTGCCACTGTAAACACATTTCCCCAAAGCAATTTCCCCTAAAACAACACATTTTTTGCATGCTATTTTCCCCACTAATACAGGTATGTGCATTTATATGTGAACTTGGCATTGTAAGATGCCGCAAAACAGACTTACCTCGTGTTTTCCTTTCATCCGGCAGATGTTGATATCGTGTTGATTCGACCTCCATGTCAGTTTCTAGGCAAAGACCGAACAACAACAAAAATGGGTGAAAGAAAAATTGGGAGACAATGATATCTGTGTGGAGGGTGTTGTAGTCTCTTCCCCTCCACCCCCCAAAACACACTTCTAAACAGTACAGTCGTACCTTGGAAATTGAAAGGAATCAGTTCCGGAAGTCCATTCGACTTCCAAAATGTTCAGAAACCAAAGTGCCGCTTCTGATTGGCTGCAGGAAGCACTTGCAGCCAATCGGAAGCCCCGGAAGCCCTGTCGGATGTTCGGGTTGCAAAGAACGTTCGCAAACCGGAACACTCACTTCCGGTTTTCGATAGTTCAGGAGCCAAAACGTCCGAGTACCAGGCGTTTGGGATCCAAGGTACAACTGTATAAGATTTACCAACCAAAGTGGTATTCAACTAAGTTTTACTCACCGAATAGACCCACTGAAATGAATGGATGTGGCGCATTAATTCGAGCAGTTCTGCTCTCAGTAAAACGTAGTTGATTGCCACCCAAAGGCTGCAACCATAACCCCGTTTGCCTGGGAGTAAGTCTCATTGCATTTCATAGGACTTACTTCTGAGCAGACATGGTTTCATTTGCACTGAAAAATCTTCTTTCGGAGGGACCTCCCTGGTTCTAGCCTATAATTTCCTGTTGCCTCTTTTCCCTGGGCTCAGTATCCATTTCAAAAATGCCCTCTTTGCTACGCTGCTGAGCTGTGACACCGGCTCTTACTGGGTGTGTTCTGTACTGTTCTATCTCCGTTTTGTTTTACTGAGAAAATCAATAAAAGCCTATTTAAAAATAGCCCAGTCCTGTGAAGATCCATATCCCTCTGAGAGGCAGTCAACCTCCAAGGGAGTACTTTTTAGCAGGGTCTTTCGTTTCAAAACATTGGGTTCGATCCAGTGCTTTTTTAAAAAAAAGAAGAAGGAGAAAAAAGGTGTTGGTACCCACGTTGTTACAGAAAGTGTTGAACTTTTAATATACCGTATTTCTCGCTCTATAGGATGCACCCGACCATAGGACGCACCTTGTTTTAGAGGGGGAGAACAAGAAAAAAAATTCTCCCCCTCTCTGCTCAGCGCCCCTTCAGCGAAGCGGGAGGAGAAATGGAAGGGGCTCCGTTTCTCCTGCCGCTTCGCTGAAGGGGCGCTGCGCAGCTCTCCCTCTCTGCTGAAGCCGGAAGAGTCTTGCTCTCCTGGCTTCAGTGAAAGGAACCCGAAGCCTTCGGAGCGCAGCGCAAGGTCCCGCTGTGCTCCAAAGGCTTCAGGCGGCTATCCCTGAAGCCTGGAGAGCGAGAGGGGTTGGTGCGCACCGACCCATCCCGCTCTCCAGGCTTCAGCGAAAGCAACGCGAAGCCTCTGGAGCGCGGAGGGAGCGCTCCCTCTGCGCTTTGGAGGCTTCGCGTTGCTTTTGCTGAAGCCAAGGAGCCTGCATTCGCTCCACAGGACACACAAACATTTCCCCTTAATTTTTGGAGGGGAAAAAGTGCGTCCTATAGAGCGAAAAATACGGTATATATTTAAAGGTGCTGGTACTGCGTAACCTTGAGTACCCCCAGAAAAAAAGTACACTATCCAGCCAACTTTAGTCCTGCTCAGAGTAGTCCCATTGCAATCATAGAATCATAGAGTTGGAAGAGACCACAAGGGCCATCGAGTCCAACCCCCTGCCAAGCAGGAAACCCCATCAGAGCACTCCTGACATATGGTTGTCAAGCCTCTGCTTAAAGACCTCCAAAGAAGGAGACTCCACCACACTCCTTGGCAGCAAATTCCACTGTCGAACAGCTCTTACTGTCAGGAAGTTCTTCCTAATGTTTAGGTGGAATCTTCTTTCTTGTAGTTTGGATCCATTGCTCCGTGTCCGCTTCTCTGGAGCAGCAGAAAACAACCTTTCTCCCTCCTCTATGTGACATCCTTTTATATATTTGAACATGGCTATCATATCACCCCTTAACCTCCTCTTCTCCAGGCTAAACATGCCCAGCTCCCTTAGCCGTTCCTCATAAGGCATCGTTTCCAGGCCTTTGACCATTTTGGTTGCCCTCCTCTGGACACGTTCCAGTTTGTCAGTGTCCTTCTTGAACTGTGGTGCCCAGAACTGGACACAGTACTCCAGGTGAGGTCTGACCAGAGCAGAATACAGTGGCACTATTACTTCCCTTGATCTAGATGCTATACTCCTATTGATGCAGCCCAGAATTGCATTGGCCTTTTAGCTGCCGCGTCACACTGTTGGCTCATGTCAAGTTTGTGGTCAACCAAGACTCCTAGATCCTTTTCACATGTACTGCTCTCAAGCCAGGTGTCCCCATCTTGTATTTGTGCCTCTCATGTTTTTGCCCAAGTGCAATACTTTACATTTCTCCTGTTAAAATTCATCTTGTTTGTTTTTGCCCAGTTCTCTAATCTGTCAAGGTCGTTTTGAAGTGTGATCCTGTCCTCTGGGGTGTTAGCCACCCTCCCAGTTTAGTGTCATCTGCAAATTTGATCAGGACGCCCTTGAGTCCATCATCCAAGTCGTTGATAAAGATGTTGAATAAGACCGGGCCCAAGACAGAACCCTGTGGCACCCCACTAGTCACATCTTCTCCAGGATGAAGAGGAACCATTGATGAGCACCCTTTGGGTTCGGTCAGTCAGCCAGTTACAAATCCACTGAGTGGTAGCATAGTCAAGACCGCATTTTACCAGCTTCTTTACAAGAATATCATGGGGCACCTTGTCAAATGCCTTGCTGAAATCAAGGTAGGCTACATCCACTGCGTTCCCTTCATCTACCAGGCTTGTAATTCTGTCAAAAACGAGATCAGGTTAGTCTGACATGACTTATTTTTCAGAAATCCATGCTGACTATTGGTGATCACAGCATTCCTTTCTAGGTGCTCACAGACTGTTTGCTTAATGATCTGCTCCAGAATCTTCCCTGGTATTGATGTCAGACTGACTGGGCGGTAATTATTTGGGTCCTCTCTTTCCCCCTTTTTGAAAATAGGGACAACATTTGCCCTCCTCCAGTCTGCCAGGACTTCAGCTGTTCTCCAGGAATTCTCAAAGATGACTGCCAGTGGTTCTGAGATCACATCTGCCAGTTCTTTTAATACTCTTGGATGCAGTTCATCTGGCCCTGGAGACTTGAATACATCTAAACTAGCCAAGTATTCTTGTACTATCTCCTTAGTTATTCTGGGCTGTGTTTCGTCTGCTGAATCATTTGCTCCAAATTCTTCAGGTCGGGCATTGTTTTCTTTATCGGAGAAGACTGAGGCAAAGAAGGCATTGAAGAGTTCAGCCCTTTCTGTGTCCCCTGTTTGCATTTCACCATCTTCTCCTCTGAGTGACCCCACTGTTTCTTTGTTCTTCCTTTTGCTACGAACATACCCATAAAAGCCTTTTTTGTTGCTTTTAACCTCTCTAGCAAGCCTGAGTTCATTCTGTGCTTTAGCTTTTCTGACTTTGTGTCTACACGTGCTGGCTATTTGTTTGAATTCCTCTTTGGTGGTTTCCCCCCTTTTCCATTTTTTGTACACATCCTTTTAAATCTTAACTCAGTTAAAAGTTCTTTAGATAGCCACCCTGGCTTCTTTAGGCACCTTCCATGTTTCCGTCTCATTGGTATTGCCTGAAGTTGTGCTTTTACTATCTCCCTCTTAAACTCCCAGCCATCATGAACTCCCTTTCCTTTTAGTATTACTGTCCATGGGATCTCACCCAGCACTTCCCTAAGTTTTATGAAGTCGGCTTTCTTAAAGTCAAGAAATTGAGTCCTAGTATGCTTGGCTGCTCCTTTCTGCTGTATAGTAAACTTCAGAAGAGCATGATCACTCGCGCCTAATGATCCTTCCACTTCTACCCCACTAACCAGGTCATCAACATTGGTTAGGACCAGATCTAAAATGGCTGTTCCTCTTGTTGCTTCTCCCACTTTCTGGACAATGAAGTTGTCTGCAAGGCCAGTGAGGAATCTGTTTGACCTTATGCTCTTGGCTGAGTTTGACATCCAACAAATATCTGGGTAATTGAAGTCCCCCATTACTACTATCTCCCTTCCTTTTGCATGCTTGGCCATCTGTTCCAGGAAGGCATCATCTATGTCCTCCGTTTGGCTTGGGGATCTATAGTAAACTCCCACAATGAGGTCACTGTTATTCTTCTCTCCCTTAATTTTGACCCAAATGCTCTCACTTTGGCTTTGAGGTTCTAAATCTTGGATCTCTTCACAGTTATACACATCCCTGACATATAACGCCACTCCTCCTCCTTTCTTGTCTGGTCTGTTTCTCTGAAATAGATTGTATCCCTCCATTATTACATTCCAATCATGGGACTTATCCCACCAGGTTTCAGTGATGCCTATTATGTCATATTTAGTTTGCTGTACCAAGAGCTCAAGCTCATCTTGTTTATTTCCCATGCTTTGCGCATTAGTGTACAGACATTGAAGTCCATTAATCATTCCCCATGTCTCTTATTTAAGGATTTTTTCCTCCCACCACTAGGTCTGTGTGCTGTTTGCTCCATTTGGTCTATGACATTTGGATGATCATCTTCATCAATTGATAGACTCCTACCTTCAGGAGCACTGTCTCCCTTCCCCACATTAGTCAGTTTAAAGCCCTCCTGATGAGGTTTCTGAGATTTTTGGCAAAAACATTCCTCCCAACCGTTGTGAGGTGCAGCCCATCGCTTGCCAGAAGTCCAACTTCAAGAAACTGCAGTCCGTGATCTAAGAATCCAAACCGTTCCTGTTTACACCATTTGCGAAGCCAGCTGTTCACTTCCACTATTTTTCCCTCTCTCCCTGGGCCACGTCGTTCAACTGGGAGGACAAATGAGATGACAATTTGTGCATTTAATTGCTTCAGTTTCCTGCCCAGAGCCTCGTAGTCTCTTTTGATCTTCTGGAGGCTATTGCTTGCAGTGTCATTGGTTCCCACATGAACCAAGAGGAAGGGGTATTTGTCAGTGGGTTTTATGATTCCTTGCAGTTGTTCAGTTACATCTTGGATCTTAGCCCCGGGGAGACAGCACACTTCCCGAGACATCTTGTCAGGCCCACAGATCACTGCTTCTGTTCCCCTCAGTAGGGAATCCCCTATCACCACTACACGCCTCCTCTTAGGTTTGGTCGAGTTCTTCCGTGAGCTGTCCGTTCCGAGGTCGCCTGCACATTCCCTGAGGACTGACTTTGCTGCTCGTCTTCATATACCTGATCGACTGTAATGAGGGAGAGATCCTCAAATGGAGTCTGCTCTTCGTCTTCCATGCTAGGGGAGAGGACCTCAAAGTGATTGTGTATTTCCAAACAATCAGAGCGAACCCTGGGCCTCCTACTTCTTTGAGTCACGTTTCTCCATATATCTGGCTCCTGTGTTGGTGAACTAGCCTCCTTCTCAGGGAGTCCCCTGTCTCCTCCTTGGTGGAGACGGTGTGCTCTGTTGCTTCCAAGAAGAGCTCCAGCTCTCTAATTCTTTGGAGCGTAGCTACACGTTCCTCCAGTTGCTGGACTTTGTCTTCTAAGAGGGCAATCAACATGCAATTGCTGCAGGTAAAGCTGCCTGCAACCTTTGGCAAGATGGCAAACATTGCGCAGGAACCGCAGGCGACTGCAGCTGTTCCCTCCCCTCCATCTTGAGAACGTGTCGTTGGGGGTGGCTACAGCGGTCCTCCATCATAAAAAGCGTGAAGACAGGACAAATAACTCCCCCCCAAAAAACCTAGGTCTCCCCCAACAAACGTTTGAGACTAGCTCCCCTAAATCTAAAAGATGGATCAAACTGTGCGCGCCGCTAGGCGCGCAAGCTCTGATAAGCTCCTCCCACAGCTAACCACCTGCCTCAACAGAAACCCTGCCCCCTCTGACCTTTGCACAGGGAGAGCAGCTAATCAGCCACAAAGAAACACACACACAAGAAAACCCTTTTTGCTCCTTCTTCAGCTGCTGCCCTGCGAATGGGCCTAAGTTAATCATGCAAATTAATTTCACTGACAAGGGCTACAAAGACCCTTCACTTTTGAGATTTATCACGTACCTGATGGTAGCGCATTTCACTGGCCGAGGCCTCGGGTTCAAGGCTGATGCGGTACAAGTTGTCCCTGAGAAGAAAAGAAAGGGAGGAAAAAATAAAAAATGAAGTCTGAGATATTCTGCTTCCTCTCCCATCTTTTAGAAGACCAGGGCGGGCCAAATTTAAATTGCACCGTTCGTCAGCCAAAAATAGGAATGCAAACCAGAGTTCCCAAGATATACCCCAAGCATTTCTTGATTTAACAAAAGAGCAATCCGCATTGATTGTTGCTTTCATTTTATGGATTAATGGTCTCATAAAATTCATGTTAAATTGCTGTTTTAGGGGTTGTTTTTAAAAGTCTGGAACGGATTAAGCCGTTTTGCTTTACTTTCTGTGGGAAAGCACGCCTTGGTTTTGGAACCCTTTGGTTTTGGAACGGACTTCTGGAACGGATTAAGTCTGAGAACCAAGGTACCACTGTATTCGCTTTTTAACCCCCTGTCTTTGCAACAATCAGACAGGAGGGGGTGCCAAATGCTATCTGAGAATACCACTTTTCACTCTCCCAAACTCTGGTGAGTCCAACTGCATTAGAAACTCAGCGGGGAGGGTTAATCACCTCCCCAAACTGCTTCTCTGCTTCAAAATGTAACCTGCTGCTTCGACTTTGCAGATTTTCGGAGGAGAGCCAAGTCTCCCATCGTCAGATCAAAAGGCACCCAAAATCCAGTTTCTCCCTCCCAGAACCGCACCTCCCCAAAGAAGACACTTCTTCTGGAAAAGGTATCCGTTTGGAAATTCCACATATCCAGAGCCAAGCTTGGGTAACAGGTTCTGGGTTCGAATGCTTGTAAAGCCGGCTCTGGGTGCGAGGCGGTGCTAGCAAAGTTGCCCCCAGTGCCCCCTGGCATGCTGTGCTAGGCTTAGACTGGCAGCACCAGCCAGATCAGCATGGCATTCCTCGTCCCTCATTTTCATTTCTCCACAATGCAATACTCTACAAAAAGCTCTGCAGTGTCAGCGAATTAACATTGAGGATTCCAGGGAGGCTGGGCGTATGAGTTGGCGGGGGGGTGGGGAGAGCGGGGGTGGAAAGACCTGTCAACTTTGGTTTCTCTCAGTTTTGCATTGTTCAAGTCTCCATCACACTTCCGCATCCATTTGCGAGTTTTTAAAAATCTCACTGGCACATCACTGCAAATTTCTCCCGATAATGACATTTTCATACGCAGCTTTGCCTAATGTACGCATGATTTGCAAAGCGATGCTCTTTAAGACAACGCACCACTGTCCATTATTTTCACTAATGCATAGAGGCAGTTGGAGGATAGATGGCGGCTAACAGATTGAGGTTGAATCCTGACAAGACAGAAGTACTGTTTCTGCGGGACAGGAGGCAGGCAGGTGTGGAGGACTCCCTGGTCCTGAATGGGGCAACTGTGCCCCTGAAGGACCAGGTGTGCAGCCTGGGAGTCATTCTGGACTCACAGCTGTCCATGGAGGCACAGGTCAATTCTGTGTCCAGGGCAGCTGTCTATCAGCTCCATCTGGTACGCAGGATGAGACCCTCCCTGCCTGAAGACTGTCTCGCCAGAGTGGTGCATGCTCTGGTTATCTCCCGCTTGGACTACTGCAATGCGCTCTATGTGGGGCTACCTTTGAAGGTGACCCGGAAACTACAACTAATCCAGAATGCAGCTGCCAGACTGGTGACTGGGAGCGGCCGCTGGGACCATATAACACTGGTCCTGAAAGACTTACATTGGCTCCCAGTACATTTCCCAGCACAATTCCGAGTGTTGGTGCTGACCTTTAAAGCCCTAAACGGCCTCGGTCCAGTATACCTGAAGGAGTGTCTCCACCTCCATCGTTCTCCCCGGACACTGAGGTCCAGCACCGAGGGCCTTCTGGCGGTTCCCTCGCTGCGAGAAGCCAAGTTACAGGGAACCAGGCAGAGGGCCTTCTCTGTGGTGGCACCCACCCTGTGCAACGCCCTCCCACCAGATGTCAAAGAGAAAAATAACTACCAAACTTTTAGAAGACATCTAAAAGCAACCCTGTTTAGGGAAGCTTTTAATGTTTAATAGGTTATTGTAGTTTAGTGTTTTGTTGGAAGCCGCCCAGAGTGGCTGGGGAAACCCAGCCAGATGGGTGGGGTATAAATAATAAATTATTATTATTATTATTATAGAGGACAGTGATGGTTTTAGGTGCGTCCGATATGTGTGTGCATCGAGCCGAACCCAGAAGTATCCCAAAAACATCACAACAACATCCCAAAAAGGGGCAGGGCAGAGGCAGTATGGGGGGAACACAAGGGGATGTTTGCAGGATTTTCCCATGGTGTTTCAAATATCTTATTCTTCTTTGGCGATCCCTCGTAGCCGAGTAAGATTGTCTTCCATAAACACGGTTTTAACAGTGAGTCCGTAAGTGACTGTGGAGGCCAATTCTGGATCCTCACGTCCTTCCACAGTGGGGACATAAGTTTCCGGGCGGGAGTTGATCCCGGTGAGGGTTTGCCAAGCGTGCCTTCCTCTTAGCACGTTCCTCCCTTTGGTCCTGAGTTCGAGTGTCTTCAAAGCCCATGACACCTTTGGCAAAGGCTGTTCTCCAATTGGAGCGCTCCAGGCCAGTGTTTCCCAATTGTTGGTGTTTATTCTACATTTTTAAAGATTTGCCTTGAGACAGTCTTTAAACCTCTTTTGTTGACCACCAGCATTACGCTTCCCATTTTAAAGTTTGGAATAGAGGAGTTGCTTTGAAAGACGACAATCAGGCATCCAAACAACATGACCAGTCCAACGAAGTTGATGTTGAAGAATCATTGCTTCGACACTGGTGATCTTTGCTTCTTCCAGTACACTGGCATTAGTTTGCCTGTCTTCCCAAGTGATGTGTAAAAATTTTTGGAGACACCGTTGATGGAATCTTTCGAGGAGTTGGAGATGGCGTTTATAAGTGGTCCACGTTTCACAAGCATAAAGTAAGCTTGGTAGCACAATAGCTATGTAAACAAGCATTTTGGTTACCCTGCAAATGTCCCGGGTCCTCAAACACTCTGCATTTCAATTGGGAGAAAGCTGCACTCGCAGAGCTCAGGCGATGTTGGATTTCGGCATCAATGTCGGCCCTTGTGGAAAGGTTACAAGGGGATGTTTGCAGGGTTTTTCCATGGTGCTTCAAATATACGTGACTTCACTTAAACATGCGGTGCCTTGGGACCTAAATGGTTTTTTTTTAAAAAATACCTGCATTTTGGAACGTATTACAGTGGCAAGGTAAAGGTAAAGGGACCCCTGACCATTAGGTCCAGTCGTGGCCGGCTCTGGGGTGGCGGCGCTCATCTCGCTTTATTGGCCGAGGGAGCCGGCGTACAGCTTCCGGGTCATGTGGCCAGCATGACTAAGCCGCTTCTGGCGAACCAGAGCAGCGCACGGAAATGCCGTTTACCTTCCTGCCAGAGCGGTACCTATTTATCTACTTGCACTTTGACGTGCTTTTGAACTGCTAGGTTGGCAGGAGCAGGGACCGAGCAACGGAAGCTCACCCCATTGCGGGGATTCGAAACGCCGACCTTCTGATCGGCAAGCCCTAGGCTCTGTTGTTTAGACCACAGCACCACCTACGTCCCCCATTACAGTGGTACCTCGGGTTAAGTACTTAATTCGTTCGGGAGGTCCGTACTTAACCTGAAACTGTTCTTAACCTGAAGCACCACTTTAGCTAATGGGGTCTCCTGCTGCCGCCGCGCTGCCGGAGCGCGATTTCTGTTCTCATCCTGAAGCAAAGTTCTTAACCCAAGGTACTATTTATGGGTTAGTGGAGTCTGCAACCTGACACGTCTGTAACCTGAACCGTATATAACCTCAGGTACCACTGCACTTGGTGGGGAGAATTGCATTGCAACATGCAGATAAATGCCCGCATTGCTTCAGAAAATGCAAATCTGGTGTTTTCTCCTTTAAACGTGAGCCAAATTGAACTTCTACCTAGACCACAACTTCCATGAGTGACGGTGCGCCCTAGCATTCACCTAAGACACCCTGTGCCACCGCTCTGAAGGGTAAGCAAGTTTGGATGCCAGAACCAACTACGTACCAGGGCCCCGCGGTTTCCCGCGCGCAACCCGAAAGGCGCATCGCCACCACTTGTGAGTGACAGGTCTCCTGGCCTCAGCGGCGCATCCAGGCGCTCTGTTTACAAACGGCAGCGTCGCGCTTCATTACCCCACCAACCCCATCTGCGCAGCCCAGACTTTAAAAGTCCCATTAAAAACGCATATAGATAAAAATTATATACCCAGAACGGGATTTATGATGTGCAAGGCTCCGGGGTGAGGTGCGGAAGGAGGGAAGAAGGCAGCGCACTGAGGAGAAATCCATGCACATGTCTGGAGATGATTTAGCGCTTTATTGGGGTGGGGGTGCGGATACCACCCCAGAGCATCTAAAACGGCTATGCATGATGACCATTCAAGAGCCAGCCCACCCAATGGAAACTACAACTAATCCAGAATGCGGCAGCTAGACTAGTGACTGGGAGCGGCCGCCGAGACCATATAGCACCGGTCTTGAAAGACCTACATTGGCTCCCAGTACGTTTCTGAGCACAAGTCAAAGTGTTGGTGTTGACCTTTAAAGCCCTAAATGGCCTCGGCCCAGTATACCTGAAGGAGCATCTCCATCCCTATCTTTCAGCCCGGACACTGAGGTCCAGCTCTGAGGGCCTTCTGGCGGTTCCCTCTGTGCGAAAAGCGAGGTTACAGGGAACCAGGCAAAGGGCTTTCTCGGTGGTGGCGCCCGCCCTGTGGAACGCCCTCCTGTCAGATGTCAACAAAATAAACAACTACCTGACTTAGCTGGTATTCAGCTGGTATTCAGCCCATGTCGTTAATGTAGATTTTGATGAATTTTATTAAAAATAGCTGCTCTTCTTCTTCTTCTTCTTCTTCTTCTTCTTCTTCTTCTTCTTTGAGATTTTGCATCTTTGGGCAATCTACTGCTGTCTGAACCTGACACATCTGACTCCTGAGTCGCTCTGAACAGGCTTTGCCCGAATCTGATGCACAGCCCTATTCATTGCTTTAGTTTTGGCCACTGTGAGCGTCGCAAGGTGAATATAGCAAAGGTTTCAGCAGAAGCCGGAACGCAGTGCTACGGAAACAGCGCAGTTTGCGGTGAGCACAGGGCAGGGCAGGGCAGAAACCGCGACTTCGCTATATACCTCGCGACAAGGCTCTAGACCTCATTCTGGGAAGGCCGCACAACTCTGAAATTAGGCAAGGCAGCAGTTTGCGGAGCACGCGGAAATCTACCAGGCAGAGTGCCTTAACCCGGCCTCGCCATTCTTAATTTATCCTGCTTTTTCTGCTGTGCTCTTCCTGTGGATTTCAGGTTGCTATGGAGATGCAGCAGTCCGCAAGCTAGGCAACTCTGCACCCCCTTTGTATTATGTCTCCGCTTCCACCCCCCTTTGGCTCCTCCAACAAATATTCGATGCTACTCTTAAAGGCACAGGAGCCTCACATTGCGGGGTCACTGAGGAGAGAGTGCATTTGAACATGCGCAGAGTGCCTTTCCCTTCTCATGGACGGGCCAGCAAATAGGGACATTCTGGGATCAGACAGGAAGCTGGGATGGCTTTCGTAATTCCGGGACTGTCCCTGGAAAATTGGGATGCTAGGAAGGTATTATTCCACCATAAGGTAAAGGTGCAACGACTCTGGGGTTGCAGCGCTCATCTCGCTTTATTAGCCAAGGGAGCCCGGCGTACAGCTTCCGGGTCATGTGGCCGGCATGACTAAGCCGCTTCTGGCGAACCAGAGCAACACATGGAAACACCGTTTACCTTCCCGCCGGAGAGGTACCTATTTATCTACTTGCACTTTGATGTGCTTTCGAACTGCTAGGTGGGCAGGAGCAGGGACCGAGCAACGGGAGCTCACCCCGTCACGGGGATTCGAACCACCAAACTTCTGATCAGCAAGTCCTAGGCTCTGTGGTTTAACCCCCAGCGCCACCCGCGTCCACCATAGGTAATTCATATTGCAGCTCTCAGTTTTTAGAAGGGAATAAGTCCCTCTTGCCTTCACCGAATAACCACGGTCCCCATTTCTAAATCATGCACTGAGCTTCGGAGTGCTATAGGGACGCCAGGAACATCTTAACATGCCAATATGGCTGGGTTGTATGGGGTTACCTGTCTCCTATGTACAAAGTCCTGTTGAACGTCAACATTCGTTGGATCCTGAGGCGCTCTGCGCCGCCATCTTGGCTGGAAAACCGGCCCATCCCGTTGCCCACGAAGACCGGGTAATGCTTCACATCTGGGGGAAAGCGAGAGAAGGTCAAGGGGAAGTTGGAGAAGTTTATTTACGTTTATGTGTTAGCGCATTTAAAGATCACTCTTCCAGTGGAAACCGGGTCCACAGCCACACCATGCAGCCAAAGCACATTCAGTGCATGTGGCTTCCCTCAAAGGATTCTGGGAGCTGTAGCGTGCACCCTCACAGAGCTGTAGTGGTCGCCAACCTTAACATGCGACAGTTCCCAGGATTCCTTGGAGGAAGTCATGTCCTTTAAATGTATGGTGCAGATACCTCCTAGTAATGTGTACAGATACTAGAGACCAGGGTCAGTAGATAAATAATAATAATAATAACAACAACAAATTTTTATTTATACCCCACCCTTCCTGGTTCAAAAACTGGGCTCAGGGCGGCTAACAACAAATTGAAAGCACTTAATTATAAAAGCAGCATAAAAACATGAATAACAATAAAATTCAAAATTCAAAAATCAATTAGATAATCCCCAGGGCTAGCTGGCTGAATTGGTCCTACTTGGGCCAGCGAGGAGGCCAGGGGAGAAGTAGCTGTGGGGTCTCAGAGCGGGTGATCTTCATAAAAGGGGAGGGGGAAGGAAGAGAAGGGAAATAAAAGATCAGGCTGAATTCAAATTAAAGGCCAGGCGGAATAGCTCTGTCTTACAGGCCCGACGGAAAGAGGTTAAATCCTGAAGGGCCTTAGTCTCCTGGGACAGAGCATTCCACCAGGTCGGAGCCATCACTGAGAAGGCCCTGGCCCTGGTGGAGGATAGTCTGATTTCCTTAGGGCCCAGGACCTCTAAACTATGGTTATTCATGGACCTTAAGGTCCTCTGCGCGGCAGACCAGGAGAGACCAGGCATAGGCAAACTCGGCCCTCCAGATGTTTTGGGAGTACAACTCCCATCATCCCTGACCACTGGTCCTGTTAGCTAGGGATGATGGGAGTTGTAGTCCCGAAACAGCCGGAGGGCCGAGTTTGCCTACGGCTGGAATAGACCCATTGGAATTAACAGACCTCTGAGAAGGACTCACATTGAATGAAACCCACTGTCTACCTCATAAAAACAAAAGCTGTCGGAATAATTTTAAAAAGTGCCTTTCAGAACAGGCACCTTCACTGACACAAAGGAGGTCCCATCTCTCATCCATGATGCAAATTGAATAGAATGGGATGGCACCTTAGAGTTGCAAGGGACACCTCAGACTCATCTAGTCCAACCCCCTAGAATGCAAGGAATGTCAGCTCAAGCACACGACAGACGGACCGCATGTGGAGTGCTGTGTGCAGTTCTGGCCTCCTGACCCCAAAAAAGGACATCGAAGATTGAAAAGCGTTCAGAAAAGGGGCCACTAGGGGGCGCATCAGAAGATGGCTGACAATAACATCTCTCCGACCCACACGAGGTAATTTGGAGGCTATGATGGGAGTAATTAGCCTCCCTACCCCCCCCCCCCAGGATGGTGGGGGGACTGCCCTTGCCTGCTGTGCCCTATACCACCCCCGAATTTGTGGGGATGGGGGCACTAGGCATAAAGCCCTCCTGTGGGATTTCGGCGCTCCTGGACGCCGTCTCTGATCCACGCCACTAGCTGCAAGAACTTCAAAAGAAACAATTTGGATGAAGCGAATGCACATATTTCAAGGAAGGAGGGGGAGTAAAGACTGCTAACAGAAGAGATCTCTGATAAAACAAGACGAGTCGGAGGAACAAGTATAGATTATGAGAAGATACGCCAAGACTCGGTATGGTAAAGGGACTGATGACTGATGGGGGAGGGGGAAAAAAACTTTCCTTTCTTTCCTTATGTGATTACACAAGAATCCCCTCCCCTCACAAGTCAGAAATGTCGTTTTAAGGACTTAAGCTGTGGATTTAAGGCTGTGTGGAGATAAACTTTCGAACCAAAGCATGTTTTAAGAAGAGCGTGGAATGTATAAGGGCTTTGGAATGACGCAGTTAAAAATGCCGTCGCCATATTGGGAAGTTCTGTCGGAGGACTTAAGTCTGGGAGGAGAAATAGAGAAATAGAGCTGTTTTTATATTGTGGGTGAAACTCCTCAGAGGGACTTAAGAATGACAGTTCTGTGATTAATGATGGAAAGAGCGATGTTATCTACGAATGCGAGGATATATGGAAACCATCTCGATTTGAGGATTGGAAGAACGGAAAAATTCACACAGGATTATTACTGGTGTTTATCGGCTTAAGGAGACTATCAGAAGAGATCATAAAGAAAAAAGAGAAAATATATGAACAAGATGTGATGTGGAAACAGCAAGATAAGACTGGATAGAATTATGAACTCTGTTTGGACTGATTTGGACTGATTTGGACATTAAAGCAGTAGCAAGAAGATGATCAGAATCCCCCTTCGGATCTTGAAATATGGGTCCCCTCAACAACAACAAAAATTAAAATTCGGCTATGTAATTCGGAATTTATGTGATGTGATTTAATTTGATTTGATTGGCCGGTTAATAAAAATTATTTTAAAAAAAGAAAAAAAAAGAAAAGCGTTCAGAAAAGGGCCAGCGTAATTATCACAGGGTTGGAGCAACTCCTCCAGGGAGAAAAGGTGCAAAAATTGGGAGTTTTCGTTCAGTGAAAAGGTGAGTAAGTTTACAAAATTATGCCGGGCATGTAGAAAGTGGAAAGAGAAAAATAATTTCTCCCTCTCTCATAACACTAGACTGCCTTGCCAGAGTGGTATACGCTCTGGTTATCTCCCGCTTGGACTACTGCAATACGCTCTACGTGGGGCTATCCTTTGAAGGCGGCTTGGAAACTACAATTAATCCAGAAGGCGGCAGCTAGACTGGTGACTGGGAGCTGCCGCCGAGACCATATAACACTGGTCCTGAAAGACCTACATTGGCTCCCAGTACGTTTCTGAGCACAAGTCAAAGCACTGGTGCTGAGCTTTAAAGCCCTAATTGGCCTTGGCCCAGGATACCTGAAAGAGCGTCTCCACCCCCATCGTCCAGCCCGGACCCTGAGGTCCAGCTCCGAGGGCCTTCTGGCGGTTCCCTCCCTGCGAGAAGTGAGGTTACAGGGAACCAGGCAAAGGGCCTTCTTGGTAGTGGCGCCCACCCTGTGGAACGCCCTCCCATCAGATGTCAAGGAAATAAACAACTATCTGACTTTTAGAAGACATCTGAAGGCAGCCTTGTTTAGGGAAGTTTTTAATGTTTGATCTTTTATCGTGTTTTTAATATTCTGTTGGGCGCTGCCCAGAGTGACTGGGGAGGCCTGGCCAGATGGAAGGTGTTTAGGTGAGAAATAAAACTGCACACAGTGTCTGGGGAGCAAGAAAGTCCCTTTGGCTTCGACTGCTGACCATTATGGGATGGGAGCTGGACTTCCATGACTTCTTTGATGGCCCCATAGATTCCCCAACCCTTGGTGAGAATGAAAAATAATTTTGAGGGGGGTGGCAGAGGGAATTAGGCCAGCCCCCCCCTTTTGAAGAATCGCCGGCCCAGCTCCATCCTCCTCCGGCCACATCCTGTCCCAGCCTCACTTACAGTCGTCAAGGGCCACACTGATGGGAGCAGGTTCTTCGGGGAAGAGTGCGTGAGTTTCCCTCTCCAGTAGGAAAAGTAGAACGAGCGGCAGACAGGCGGGCCTCATCGTCTCCTCTCGGAGCGCGCCTCACACCTGCAGGGGTTCAAGATGACAGAGTAACGTTAAGCCATTAGCTGTGTGCATTGTGGTCCGCGTCAATGACAACCTGTAGGGACCGGGGCAGTAGGGACCAGGTTGACAACCCCTGATTTAGACCCTTTTGGTGCTTTCATCTTCAATATCATAATTTTAGGGGGAAATAAATTTAACAAATCACACCGGACCATCTTGATATTTGCTTAGTCTTTTCGGATTTGACACCGCAGCTCAGAGCATTCCGAACGCTGGACGTTTTTGGCCAAGGGTCATTTGAACTGACGGGCAACCAGACTGGCTCATTTTGTAAAGGGATGAACGTAAACTGGAATTGGTTGGGACACGTTAAACTTGAACTACAGTCGTACCTTGGTTGTCGAACTTAATCCGTTCGACTCCCGAAACGGTTCAAAAACCAAGGCACAGCTTCTGATTGGCTGAAGGAGTTTCCTGCACTCAATCTGCATAAACCACGTCGGACATTCAGCTTCTCAAAAACATTCGCAAACCGGAACACTCACTTATGGGTTTGCGGCCTTCGGGAGACAAAACTTCTGAGCACCAAGGCGTTCGAGAACCAAGGTATGGCAGTAAGGTAAAGGTAAAGGGACCCCTGACCATTAGGTCCAGTGGTGACCGACTCTGGGGTTGCGGTGCTCATCTCATTTTAGTGGTCGAGGGAGCCGGCGTACAGCTTCCAGGTCATGTGGCCAGCATGACTAAGCCGCTTCTGGTGAACCAGAGCAGCACACGGGAACCCCGTTTACCTTCCCACCAGAGTGGTACCTATTTATCTACTTGCGCTTTGGCATGCTTTCGAACTGCTAGGTGGGCAGGAGCAGGGACCGAGCAATGGGAGCTCACCCCGTCATCGTGGGGATTCGAACCGCCGACCTTCTGATCGGCAAGCCCAAGAGGCTCAGTGGTTTAGACCGCAGCACCACCCGCGTCCAAGGTACGGCAGTAGTTCCTTTCAAAAATGAACTTCCCAAGGTCTGGCTGAAGCAAGGCATCTCACCCAAATTAATCCAGTTTTGCTTTGAGACCTCCCTCCCCTCATTCAAATGTCTTTGCTAGAAATGAAAGGAAAAGGAAGCCCCAGAGGAAGTTCTGAATACCGTATTTTTCGCTCTATAAGACGCACCAGACCACAAGACGCACCTAGTTTTTGGAGGAGGAAAACAAGAAAAAAAATATTCTGAATCTCAGAAGCCAGAACAGCAAGAGGGATTGCTGCTTTCACTGCACAGCGATCCCTCTTGCTGTTCTGGCTTCTGGGATAGCTGCGCAGCCTGCATTCGCTCCATAAGACGCACACACATTTCCCCTTACTTTTTAGGAGGGAAAAAGTGAGTCTTATAGAGCAAAAAATACGGTATACGTCGGAGTTCTACTCTGGATCAAAATGGTGCGCTGCAGCAGCTGTTTTTTCAGAATTGCAAGGTGTGATGGGATGGGGCAGAGGGGGTTAGCTCGCCTGTAAAAAAGAGGATTAGGGAGAACATTTGCACATCGGTTTCCGACAGACAGATGCACGCGCCAGTTGTTGAGAGCCAACAGGTTGGGCAGCTGTCTGTGTCATAAGACAAGAAGCTCTTTTGATTCCCTCCTCCTGATCTCTCACTGACCAGATAATCCCAAATGACAGGACCTTCCCCCCCCATTGCCAGTTTTGTGTTTCAGCCCCACAAAACTGATGCTCCCATGTTCCAAGGGAGCCCAGTTACTCTCCACAAGTAAAGCATTTTTTAGAATCAAAGAATCGTGGACCCCAAAGGCCATGCAGGAATCACAGCTCAATTTAAGAAGCATTTAACACATAACGAGGTAGCGGATCCATCAGCTTTGGTTTCTCTTAGTTTCTTATTTCCCACCCATTCCGAAGTTTAGTTCTCTTTCGTTTGGAGAGAACACGCTTTCGCAAAGCTATTCCCCCTAATACGATGATGCGCTTTTGCACGTTGTTTTCACTACAGACGCAGGTCCACGCACACTTTCCCCTAATGCACACATTTCAATTCACCTTTCACACACCCCAGTCTGTGCATTTTGGTACACATTACTTGGCTGGAGAACAGCACTACAAAATCTGTGTGGATTTCAAAGGGCAGGAAAGTGCAAATTTTAAAGGGCAGCTGTGTTTCATTTCCCATTATGGTTTCAGTAAGTATAATAATAATAATAATAATAATAATAATAATAATAATAATTTATTATTTGTACCCCGCCCATCTGGCTGGGTTTCCCCAGCCACTCTGGGCGGCTTCCATAGAAACAAAAAATACAGTAAAATATCACAGATTAAAAGCTTCCCTGAACAGGGCTGCCTTAAGATGCCTTCTAAATGTCAGGTAGTTATTTATCGCTTTGACATCTGATGGGAGGGCGTTCCACAGGGCGGGCGCCACTACCGAGAAGGCCCTCTGCCTGGTTCCCTGTAGCTTTGCTTCTTGCAATGAGGGAACCGCCAGAAGGCCCTCGGCGCTGGACCTCAGCGTCCGGGCAGAACGATGGGGGTGGAGACGCTCCTTCAGGTGTTGTTGAATTAGGTGTTGTTGTTTAGTCGTTTAGTTGTGTCCGACTCTTCGTGACCCCATGGACCAGAGCACACCAGGCACTCCTGTCTTCGTGAATTAGGTAGGTTCACCTTTAAAATTTATTGAATTTATTGAATTTGCTGTCAGCTCACCAGCAAATTCAATAAATTCAATAAATTCACCAGTGAGAGCCAGTGTGGTGTAGTGGTTAAGAGCGGTAGTCTCGTAATCTGGGGAACCGGGTTTGAGTCTCCGCTCCTCCACATGCAGCTGCTGGGTGACCTTGGGCCAGTCACACTTCTTTGAAGTCTCTCAGCCCCACTCACCTCACAGAGTGTTTCTTGTGGGGGAGGAAGGGAAAGGAGAATGTTAGCCGCTTTGAGACTCCTTAAAGGGAGTGAAAGGCGGGATATCAAATCCAAACTCTTCTTCTTCTTCTTCTACCATCACCATCTAGTGTCCCCTTTGTATAATGCGCTTAAAAACACACTTAAAACATTATATTTGCAGCTGTGTAGCTGAGTCATTAATCCAGACAAGGCAGAGGTCTTCTTGTTTTTATCGTAATTATTTCTATGAGAGGTGTGTGTGTGTGTACTATATATATATATATATATATATAGAATATAATAAGTTAAAATTCTATCCATGTTTGATTGTTTCTTTCCCTATGTTTTTAGCTGGTTCTTGTTTTGATCTGTAAGCCGCCTTGAATGCCTGTCAGGGGAAAATTGGGGTTTAAATAAATATCATCATCACCACGGGTCACTTTGCCCTTTAAGTTTGCTCAGCTTTTGCAGCGGAAAGGGGCTTAAGTAGGAGACCCCGCGAAATATACTCAGAGTCAAGAGTGGATTTCATGCTCTTTATTCAGCTCATAGTGGTGAGGAGGAATGTGAGTCCCCTCAAAGTATCTGCTTTATATACATTATTTACCCAATGGGCTGCACATGATTGGCTAATTCCAGAATTCTCCTGTAGGCCAATCAAGTTGTGGATTCACTTCCATCTGGAGCCAGATTGGGTGGCTCCTGCAGACCAATCAGACTGCTGCATTGTTCTAGGACCAATCAGACTGCTGCATTTTGGATCCTATTCAACTCAGTACATAACACCCCGCCTGTCAATTTCTTAGCCAAGAGAGGTCTTCTCTGTGCTCTTTCAAACTGTCTTTGGAAAACAAAACTCTTCAGACAGGTGTTGGCAACGTGGGTTTTGTTTTTCGCCCCCCACAGACGCACCGCTGATGTCTTTACCAATGTTGTTCTTGTTGGGTTGTGTATTTATGCTGTGCAACACCTTGTAATATTTGCTGAGGAAGTGTGGTTTATAAATATTTTAATGAACACGGCACATTCTAAGGCAGTGCACCAGATTCAGTCGAAACCCGAATCCAGTCTGCTTTGGGCAGGACTGGACTTCAGCTGAGCTGGGCTGAGATACCCTTGATCGGCCCAGGATGAGCCGTCCAGACAACGGTCAGAAGGCTGGGCTGGACAGATCCTGAAGCTGAGGCTCCAAGACTTTGGCCACCTCATGAGAAGAGAAGTCTCCCTGGAAAAGACCCTGATGTTGGGAAAGATGGAGGGCGCAAGGAGAAGGGGACGACAGAGGACGAGATGGTTGGACAGTGTTCTCGAAGCTACCAGAATGAGTTTGACCAAATTGTGGGAGGCAGTGGAAGACAGGAGGGCCTGGCGTGCTCTGGTCCAGGGGGTCAAGAATAGTCGGACACAACTAAACAACAACACTCTTTGCAAGCAGTGCAGGGATTTTAAACAGCCCCACACTTAGCTTTGGCTGTGCACACCAGACAGCGGAACAGGTGCACAAAGCAAAACCGAGCAGGATTGAACCCTCCCCTCCTCAGCTGGAGGGTCCAATCCTGCTGGATGCAGAGGTCTGTTTCTCCAGGGTGTTCTCCACAGGGAATGCAGTGGCATAACCCCCCCTCCAACATTTCTCCCATTAAAATAGGGATGTCCCATTTCCATAATGATATTTTTACTCCAGTCAAACCTCGGAAGCCATTCCAGAAGCCCGTTCGGCTTCCGAAATGTTCGACAACCAGGGCGTGGCTTCTGATTGGTTGCAGGAGCTTCTTGCACTCAAGCGGAAGCTGCGCCAGACACTCGGCTTCCGAAAAACGTTTGAAAACCAGAGCATTTACTTCTGGGTTTTCTGCGTTCGGGAGCCGAAGCATTCCAAAACGGAGGTGTTCGGGCCCCAAGGTTTAACTGTATTTATACCCCCACACAGGTGGTGCTGTGGTTTAAACCACTGAGCCTCTAGGGCTTGCCAATCAGAAGGTCAGAAGGTTTACCTTCCCGCCGGAGCGGTACCTATTTATCTACTTGCGCTTTGATGTGCTTTCGAACTGCTAGGTTGGCAGGAGCAGGGACCGAGCAATGGGAGCTCACCCTGTCATTGCAGGGATGCGAACCGCCGACCTCCTGATTGGC